CCTCAAATATGGCCGTTTAACACTAATATACCTAACATTCAGGCCCGATTCTAGGCCTATTGAGGAAGGGGGGGGCACTGCCCCCATCAATATAAAACTACTCCCCTCCCCCAAAAAAACTAGGAACGTGATGGGAGAGAAATAACTGTTGTTCAAACCACTTTATGAAAAAAACTAATTATTCATCTCTGCTGAAATACAACGTCAACGTACCTCATTTGTAATGAGGAAGGAGAAAATGTAAATAAAGTTATCAAGGTGCTAAGATTGGAAATGAGTCTTACCTTCCAAAAACAAAATGGATAGGTTAGATTTTTTTAGTCATTCTTTTTGGAAATATTTTACAACTGATTTAAATAAGGTATCACCAAAAAAGCCAACAGCATCACTCAAAAAGACTGTTACTAATAATGGAAGAAGATTTTATAAATACGAATAGGTTGAATAATTAATTGAAGCTGATGTAGTTCTCTGCCTCCCTTATAAGATCTATAACTCTAACAATGGTGAATCAATCTGTACCAAAACAAGTTTTGCCAACTGGAAGAAAGTTTTTATATAAAGGAGTCTTGAGAAATATTAGAATTGCAGAATACATAGAGGAAAAGTCTCCTAAGACTAAATGATTTTTCCAATTTTTTTGTATAAACTAATTAGCAAATTTAAATATATTATCAAATAGCCATTCTAATTTTGACATAAAAAAAATTAAAACCTTTAATGGCAACGAATATTACTGAAGAGGGATTAGTAATTGAGATTGTTAAAAAATTATTTGTTAAAAATTTAGAAAATTATAAAGATTGTATTACATCAAATTTTTTACAAATTTTTATAAATGTATTTCCAAATGTTTTTCATATTCTGTATCAGTTTAGATCATCCACATAGAGTTGTGTGTCATCTTTTTTATAAGAAAAACGTTCGAATAGTGATATTAGAAAGGGTAATTTGGTTTAATTAGGACTTGGGAAAAAGAAAACCGAAACTATGAATTATAGAAATGATTTCAGTTAGCTCAATCACTGACCATAATATCAATTGTAATATAGTTATAAATATTTTCTAAATTACATATATTTTATAATTCTAATTTTATAAACATATTTAATTATTGTATATTTTTATGCGGTATTTTTTTCAAATAAAATCTTATATTTCAATTTTGTATTCAAATAACTTAAATATTCGTTCTATGTCGTTAAAAAAATTCTTAACTGCCCCTTCAAAAATTTTTCCTGCCCCCCCCCCAATGAGGGTAGCTAGAATCGGGTCTGCTATCATTATAAAAATAATCTAGTCAGAAATTTTTTTTTACGAATTGACACAGGAATGCATCATCATATTCATAATGTTTATTTTTAGACTTTATAATTTTTAATATAATCTTAAATTGTCGTCCTATGTATCACTCTGTAATATGCCCCTGACTCCCTATAGCTTATAAAACTCTTTATAAATGTTCTTTAATTATATTCTGCTAATTATTATCGATTCATATATTTTACCTTAATACGTTGCTTTGCTTGTTAATACAATATTTATTTGATATAAAAGTACTTCGTTTTGCCTTGTTAAATTTAATATAAAATATATACATATCCCGTTGTTAATTTATATCAACATCATTAATTATTTAAATCAATTTGTGTTTAATAATTTAATATAGCATTTTCCGCCTCATATCTCCACGAAAGGATAATATAAAAATTTTTTTATTATAACCTTCATCTGGAAAAAAGCCCGGATAAACCGAGCTAAATTAACATTATTTAAAATATCATTAAACTAGCAAGTATCTAGTTTACAATTATGCTTTAGCTATGATACTAATGGGAAAGTATAAATTTTAGCACAGTTTACACTAGACTAGTTTTGTTAAACGGTTCGATTTTTAAAAACGGCTAACCCAATATAACACACAAGCTGAGAGATTTTGTTAATAGATTTCCAAAAATTTTTATCATCTAATAACAAAATATCCAAGCTTGAATAATATTCTTGGGTAAAATATCGGGTTAGCCTTTTTTAAAAATCGAACCGTTTAACTTACTAGACTAGACTTAGAAATAAAGATTTTAAAAAAAGAGAAAATGGGGCTGACTCTCTTTATAAATACAATATTATATTCTATATGAGATATAATTTAGATCTTATTCTATTTATATTGTAAAATCACACCGAAATATTCGGACAGCGCTTTGAAGAGCTCGACTCAAGGATTTTTTTTTAACCACCGCGGGATGCGTGGCGTTTATTTTATTTTTTTTAAATACAAAAATTGTAATGATTGACAATTTCTTTAAATTATCCTCAGATTTTAATATAAATTTAAAAAACTTTAAAAAAAATAAAGTAGTTATTAAATTATGTATTAAAATCAATTTTTGTTCGTAAAAAAAACAAATAGAATAGATAACATTACAAAAACCTAATTATAATTTAAAGGATGTTTTATTTAAGCGTGTAATGTTATATTTATAAATGTTTTATAATAAATGTATTGTAAAAAAAATATGGTAAAATATTTTAAAAAAATAATAAATTCGGATTGTGATATTTTTTTTAAAGCCAAAAATTATAATTGCGGCGAAATGTTTTTATTTTATGGTGTTAGATAACTACTTTCGTTTTAATTCTCTTGCAAATATAAGTTTATTTTTATATTAATATATACAAATGGCTTATAGTGTAATCAAGTAATTTCCTTTTCTATTTTTTAATTATCATATAAGTTTTTATCAAGATATCAATGCCCCCCCCTCTGTTATTTTTTTTTAAATAGTGTTAAAATAGATCTAATTAGAAGAGTTCTGGATTTAAATCTTTTATGCATATTAATTTTAAGAATAATAAATACCCTGAGTTTCATGTATTTTGACCAAATCTAAACCCGTAACACCGGACCTGAGTTTGTGACTCTTTTCCCCAACCCTTATTTAACCGGAAACCAAATTTATCTTGTTTTTTGTTTTCAATCCTAATGCATTAAGATACAAATGTCCTAAATTGATAATCGATTTTCCATTTTTTTTTACCAGCAAATTTTTTTAATGTAAAATAAAATAACCTATGAAAACCTATTTTTTTTATTCCTATTTTTTACTAAATAAATTTACTGACCTCATTCTATTTATTTAATTGCCACTTTGAATAAATTGATAATAAATTCTATTTAAATCAAATAGATTTAAGTTCGATCAATCTGTACCCACCTCTAACCCCATTTTTTAAAAAAAATTTGAACCTGGAACCGCACTGATATCACAAAATTTATGACCGATCCAAATTCCTGTCTTGAATTATTAGAACAATTAAGATGAGACATCATATGTTTTATAAAAAAAAAACTTATCAAGAAGCCGAAATTTTTTTTTTTATTTAAAAAATTGAACATTTCATATCATATCAATAATAAAAGGCTTTTTTTTAAAAAAAAATAAGGCTGAGTCCAAAGCTTTAAGAAGAAGGAAAAAAAATTGATAAAATTTGAAAACTTTTTAATTGAAAATAAAGAAATAATCTTCTTCTTTTTTCAAGCATAAAATAAATAAAAAATATCTGAAGCAATATCCTTTTTTTAGAAGCAGAGTTAGAAATGCTCTTCAAAATAAAAAGATTCCAAACATTTTTTTTTTATCTCTCAAGATTTTTTTTGAGATAAGTAGGATTTTTATTCTTATTTTACCTAAAATTCCAAATCGTAAAAAAAACTTTAATAAGTAAATCTTTCATGTTTGAAATCACAATTTTTTTTAAAAAAAAATAAAATATATAATTTAGATCTTTAATTTTGTAATATTTTTTGCTAAACATTTTGGGCCAAAAATAATCTTTGAAGATTATTTCATCGTAATTCTTTAGGATCACTGCCCTTTGATGTTTCTGAGATCGCTGAGTTACTATTGATTCTTTCACCATCAAATGTGGCTAAAGTCCTCTATTTTGTCTTTTTTCTTTTAAATTTTAGCACAGCCTAAAATAAATTTTATTCAATATTTTGTCCTGCTCGAAAAGTATTTGAATTTAAAATAAGAAATTATATACTATTATATATTTTTTTTTTAAAAAAAAAAATCTATTAACTTTCAATAACACAATTTTTATTCTAACATTTTATTTTTTATATATTACTTTTTATATAAAAAAAAAATATAATTCATTTAAATTCTTTTTGACAAGTTATTGTATATTTTGTAATACATACATATGATATATTATAAGTAGAAGTAGTACATATAAATTGTAACATTATCATAAATAATGGTGTCGAAAAAAGAGTTAATGATTTTTTTTTAAAATAAAAATTTAAGAGATAAAATAAAATAATTTAATAGAAATAAGTTATGAAATGAAATGAGCTCAAAAAAAAACAATAAAAATAAATGAAAGAAAGAAAGAAAGAAAGAAAGAAAGAAAGAAAGAAAGAAAGAAAGAAAGAAAGAAAGAAGAGAAAGAAAGAAATAAGATATTAATGAAAATGAATTAATTAGTTCTAGCTTTTTTTATTCCTTTTATTTTATATTGTACTTTGGTACAACTTAGCCGAAATAATAATTTATTCCATAAAAAAATAGATTTTAAAGAGATGATATTTATTATTAATGAAACAAAAAAAAAATCTTTTATTTAATTTGGCTATAATAATTATAGTTAATAAAACTTTTATTTAATTTTATAAAATGTTCTGCCCCCAACTGACAATTCATTCATTCATGTATATCAATATAAATCAGCTGACGACATGCCATTTTGTTTCCCGTATAAATAATTTATAATGAAATTTTATGAAAACTTTAACAAAAAAAATTTATAAAATATATTTGTATGAAAAAACAAAATGGCGTGTCACCACCTGATTTGCATTAAATCAATGAATGAATCATCCATTTAGGTAAGTATTACATGGCGTTGTTCCAATGGGGAACGTTTATAATGCGGGTTCTATTGTTTTTATTATAAGTAAAGTTTTTTTTAATATATTTTTTTGTTTTATGTAGATATGCGAACCATGGATAAACTTTTCGTAATCTGAAAACCGCAGCGGCGTTTTTTTTCTACTGTATTATTTAAAATAACCCTCAATTTTGAAAAAAAAACTGTGATCATATAAAGGAAAATGTTTAAGAAACATCCAAAATCAAATTTCCTCGATAACAAATCTCATTCGGAGAGACAGATCGCCCGAAAGGATGAGGAGAGTCTTGATAATTATCCTTACATGTACAAGGAAAAGGCGCACGATAAGAATCACACCAATGATACCACGTGTAATACAATGTGCAATCGATATTTTCTATGGCCATGCAGCGACTTGTTTGAATGGCTTAAGGATTGGAAAGAAGATACGTTAAGACTTTGGTTAATGGCCGTCGTGCTGTTATGTTACATGGGTATGGGGTGCTTCATTTTCTCGTATATGGAGTCCAAGTATGAGCACGACATCAAAGAAGACATCAAAGAAGCCCTCTCCAGTTTCATAGCTAAATATCCGAACGTGAACAGAACAGAAATGAGAGATCTTTTAGAACTTTACGGCAACGCTACTTATAATGGTTTCGTAGGAGTTCGACCTAGGTGGGATTTTTACGGATCACTTTATTTTACGTGGACAGTAGTATCTACAGTCGGTAATTATATTTTTTTAAATAAAATTATAAATTTTGTGGGTAATGCGTTTAGGTCTTCTTTTTTTTTGAATCATAAAATATGACATTTAGGTTATTTTATTAAAAAGATATTTACTTTCATATAATATACATTAATAAACAAAAACCTTTTCAAATACAAATGTTATTGGTTAATCTACCAGTCATTTTTATCATCTTATTTTTAAAAAAATTTAAAAGGATTTTTTCTTTTTAAAGATATTAGGTTTAATTTAATCTAATTCTATTTTGTTATAAATATGTTTGTACAAAAAAAAGGAGTAAAATTATTAAGAGTATATATGTATACTATCAGTCAGGGACGGGATCTCAATAAATTGAGAAAATTTTCCACCTTATGTTAGTTTTTTTTTTGCCTATACGAAATTAGAAGAATAAGTTCGGAAGGATTTTGGCAAATTTAGTGCTACGCACCCGGGGTTTTTGTTTAAAACAAATTAATAAATAGGCCTTTTTTTTTAATTTTAAAAGGCCTGATTCATCCTGTGAGAAGTCATATACCTTATGAATTTAAGACAATTTTGCAATAAATTTTCTTGTTTGTTTTTTTAAATATGTGGTAGATAAGTGATAGGAAAAGGGGAATTTTAACCCCTCCCCTCCCCAACCCTCCCAAGGGAAAACATGATTAGCTAAATAAATTTACATTGAATCTAAGGCGAAAATTTTCTTTCATTTTTTTTAAAAAAAATTGATATAATTTCCTTAATTTTCTAATTGTTTGAAATAACCTCAGAAATATTTTTTCTTTTATTAAAGAAAAAAAAGTGCCCCAAAAAAATCTATGAATAAATAATTCTAGTATCACATTTCATCTTATAAGTCAAACAAATTAAATTATAAAAGTATTAAAGTTACAGCCTGGTTGGTACATCGAGTTTCATATTTTAAAATTCGATAAAAAGTGGATTATTTAAGTAAGGATGATAGTAATTTTTTTTCCATATTTAGTTTATTTCTTTATTTTTATTATAATTGTCTCTTAGTGTTTCTATAATTTTTCGTTCTAGTTTGAATCTCGATACCAATTTTATAAATTTTTCTTATTTTAGTAATAAATTATTTTTATTTAATGTTTGTTAAACTAAAATATTTCATTATATTATTGGCCTAAGCTTTAAAAATAGTTCTCTTAAAAATTTGTCGAACTTTATGCGGGTTTCCAGAATTCTTATAATTAACATAAATGGTATTCCATGCTTTTGATCATATTGCCTTTTTTTTTAATCATTATTTTTAGCTTTTGAACATTGTATTTGAAGCTAATTTTATTTATAATAAAAAATAATAATAATTAGTTTAACATTATATTTATTAATTGATATAAATTTTAATATAGATATATTACACACTTTTATAATTGTTATTAATTTTTTTAAAAATTAACTTTTTTTACTGTTTTGTATTATGGATCTGACCTTGAATATAGATTTTAAATAGATAGGATATAAATATTTATTAGATAATGAATTTATTATTTTTTTTATGATGTAGTACACCCAAATCAACGAGGGTGTTTTTTGCCCAATTAAAAATATAATATCACAAGAAAATTTATAGATGATAATTTTTATTGGCAAAATTTTTGAAACCTTCCAGTATTTTATAAAATTCTCAATAATTATTTGATTTGTATAATATTTTTTTAATAAAATTTTTTTTTACCGTTATAAATAATCTAGTGTAGAAAGAATTAAATTCAAAATTTGGTCAGTATTTTTAAGAAATACTGAAAACAATCTGGATTGCTTTAGGACAGATAAGATTAATAGGTTGTAATATTTGACTAAAATGTAATTATCTAGGTAAACTATCAAATTATACAGGTTATGTTTTTAGCGTATATATTAAAGATTTTTAGAATAAGGAAGTATAATATAATTTTATATGCAAGGTAGCTTTTATTGTTATTTACTATTATGAATATAAAATAACTCCAATAACCCGTCAAGAATGACGGGGTTATGGTGTTTAGTTTGTGTAAATGGTATTAAATATGCTTTATTAATATATTTTATAAAAATATTAAAATTTAGGAGAAAATGAGGTAAGTTTGTGAATCACATATAAGATATTCTTAATTTAAAGTATGATGACCCGTCTTTCTTGATGGGCAAAATAAAAAATCTACTAAGAGTACCAGAGCTCCCGTTAGTCAGCATTGCTAAGCCCGTCAAAAATGACGGGGAATGAAAATTTTCTCCTTACTCTTATGATAATTGTTACCTGTTATTTGAAAATAATTTCCAATTTTTATTCTTTATAAACCCCTCCCCCCTTCAGGCAAGGTCCAATTCATTAAAACTAAGTGTAATTGCTATGTTTTGAGTCAAAAAATATTTAAAACATTATTGTTTTTTTTTTATTTTCAATATTAAAAACATTTTTTGGCAAAATCATTTTACACGGAATCGTTTTTTATATTAGTGTACCCATTTTATGTTAATTAAAATTTTCTAAACACCGAGCCCTGAACCCAAAACCCTTTAATTTGGAAGAAGGGTTAGCAGCCCTGATTTTCATATCCTAAATCTCAAAATTTAGATATAAATATAATAATGAAGAATAAAAAAAAATCTATTTACCGACAAATCAATTAATTTAGAGTGCCATAAGGTCATCTAGTTAGCCTGCGCGTAAGCCGAGCCCAGCAGGCGGAAACATTATCAATAATATAAATAGGCCTGACAGGGCCGATGGTTCAAAAAAATATTTAATTTGTATTTTTTTTCGTCTGATTGAATGTGAAGAAATGAATTTTTAAAAAAAGTTTTTAAAAAAATAAAATTATAAGTGAATATTTAAATTAAATGTACTGCCAAATAAAAAAATTATTTTGAGTTCAAGATTTCTTTCCGATTCGTTAATCTTTTTTTATATTCATGTGACTAACAATATATAAATATAAAATGCAAAAAAATCCAAAATTTCCACCATTATTTTGAGAAAAATATATCAAAAAGTAATATAAATTCTTTGTGTTGTGATTTTATTCTATCATTTTTTTATATTTAGTAAATATATAAAATGCGAAAAAACTCAGAGATCCCATTAGGATTGTTAAAAGGCTTGATTTGATACGATTTATAAAAATGGTGAACTGATTATTTTAATCAGAAATCTATTGCCTAAAACCTTTGTGTCATCTATTAGCAAAATCTTAAGGCTTGCGTATTTTTTTTTCTGCATAAAATATTAAACGAGAATGTTCATTTATGGTGTAGACGTTAATTTACCTCCCAATAAAACTCTACCAAGAATCTTACATTTATATTTTGTAATAATTATTCTCATTTTTAATCCTTTTAAGTTAGATTATTCTTTTCTTCAAATCAATCTTTTAAATGACTACCAAAATGTCCTACTACATATTTACCACTTCTCAATGGAAGGTTTTTGATTTATTATGATTTAGAAACGATATCTCTTAAAAAAAATTTGTCTTACAAGCAACTTGCCATCCAGTGATGAATTGTTATGTTTTTTTTAATCCTCTAATTACATTAAATAAAATTATTTCCATTTAATAATTTACAAAATGTGCAATAAAATATCACTTATAAAATGATAAATTTAAGATATGTAATATGGAATGATTACTTTAATGTAATTAAAATGTTATCTAACCACGAAAAGTGAATTTATTTCTCAAATATTATGGTTAATGATATCGCGGATATATTATATCCATTTGCTAATACATATATCATTGCTTTTAGAAGTTATAAAAATATATATTTGATATTATATCGAATTAATAATAAAATAAGCATTGAAATTTTATTTTGAACCTAATTATAATCATCCGCATAATCAGAAATTTTCACTTTTGAGAGTTTTCGGTTTAAAAATTTACAAATTTTGTCTTTATTCGGTTAAAATTGCTATCTTACTAGTTTAATGTCATACTAAATTTTGGAAAAATTAATATTCAATTTTTTTTAAAAAATATAAATTGTGATATGACAATATAATATAGATTGGAGACGCCCGGTGGGGCCTATTAGATTTTTTTTTAAACAGATTCTTGGATGTTTGTTGAATCTAAGTTTATTCAAACTTCCGATTTTAAAATAATATTTTGCACAAGTTGTTCGAATAGACTGGAAAATCTTTTGCCGAGAGTTAGAAATATTTAAATAGAATTCCTTTATTTTAAAATAAAAACGTTCGAACTTAGTTACAGTACTGCTATACTTGTATTTTCTTATAATATGATAATAAAAATATAGATGTTAAAGGAAGAACAAAAAAAATCGTCTTTAAACCAAAATAAAGTTGTTTTTTATAAAAAAAAATTAAGGAGAAATTTAACCTAAATTAGGAATATTATATTTATATTTTTACATTCAAAAATAAATCAAGGCAAAAGTTCTTTAAATTTTAATATTTTCAACATAAAAAAATTTTTCATAATTAAAATTAAATATACCCAAAATTTAATTTAGGGAAAGTCATGACCGATTGAATTCATTAGTAATTCGATATTACTTAATGATCATATCAATTTTGGCAGGAAACAATTAAATATTATAGTATATTTTAATTTTAATATACTTGAAATTTATATGATTATTTTCTCTTATTTTGGATCAATATTTTTAACAATTATAATAACGATCTTATTATGTTATTTATTCTATTCAAATGCTGTAAAATAAAAATTTAACCAGAGCTAGTGTTTTAAAATGCACGATTCTGGTCGATTTTTAAAAATGCCCAATTAAGATTTTAGTCAAAATAATATTATATAAGCCTGGAGATTTTGCTCATAAATGACAAAAATATTTGGACCTCTATTTGCCAAATCTCTAGGGTGGCAAATATTATTTTAGCTGAAATTATAATCAGGCCCTTTTTTAAAAATCTGCCCAAATTGCCATGGGTATAGCCAGGATTGTCATAAGGGTGAAGAAATTTTAGGGTTGATTTTAAATAATTTTGTTTAACACTTTTAAAATATTCAAGTTAGGGTTAAATAAACCTGTCCTAAACTACTCAATATTTAGGAAAATTAGTTACAGGTTATATCAGTATTTAACCAAATATGATAAAGATTGACTTTTGAACTCGTTATATTTTTATAAAATAAAGAGAATGATTCAAGATATAGTCAAAATAATCAGCTTCAGGCTTATTAAAACTACAAGTTTAACCCGAAAATTTCTTAACCTTCTTGCTGGGAGTTGGCTCGGGAGATGCGAAATATCTATCACCATAGCCCCACATATTAAAAATAAAAAATTTGGTTAGGGTAAACGATATAATAACATAGTGGAAATTATGGTTCTTATCAGATGCAATGCCGTTGTGCTATCTTTGATGGTGACTAACTATTTGAAAATTATTTTCACCATAGCTCTCTTGAGACGAAGGTTTCGCCATATATTCATTATCAGTATTCTATTATTCATTCTCAAATCATATAATACCCCTTCAACTTTAAAACCAATGAAAATTCTAAATTATAACTCATGCATCATGTTGATATATCCCTCATCCCCTTGTTAAACAGCCTAGAAGTAGAATGACAGGTATATCTAATTTGCAGTCAATTCGAATATAACCTTCACATCTGCTATAGAAAAGCCCATATTTTATGTTCGACCAAGAGGTTTTACAATTTAAAATCTTTGGCAATCAAAGAACGCTAATTACTTACGATTCAAACGAAGAATTCTATCTATGCCAGAATATTTAATCTGCTGTTCCAATTTTTTAAGTCCTATTTAATCCTACCCTTTAATTATTTTAGATATTTTTTCAGAGGGAGAAATATATAAAATGCTTTAACGTTAAATTTGCAGTGCACTCTCTTTTCTTCTAATTCACTTCAGGCTTCTAATCTCATTCCCCATTACCTAGCTTCCCAATAAACTGTTTCACTTCATTCTACCACCTACATCATAAGCCATCTTAATCACTTCAGACCTAATTTATATCCCTAGTCCTTCGGCATTACCCACCATTAGAGTAGAAATTATAGATCTTGATCACAACTCCTAACATGACAGAAAATCACAGGAGGATTACTGAGTTTCTAAATATAATGGCCTAAATATTATGCTCCTAGTTATTAAATGATTGGCAAATACTATTCATTAATATCCACTTTTAAAGAAAATTAATTTTAATACAAGTTAATCAGATAATCACTGTAAAGAAATGTTATTTGTTTTAGTATAATTATTTTTAGTGGTATAATGATATAAATTTAATTTAAAAAAATATATTTATGTGTTTGGAGCAAAATTTTATTTTAAATGAGTAATATATTAATTTGGTCGATGGTAAGTAATATATGTATAAGAATATCTCTATAACTCAATTATTAAATAAATTTTTGCAGTAATATTTTTCATCGTATTTTATTTAATAAAATTGGTACCCCACTATTAAAAATAACCTCCATCAGATGCCTATCCTGTGCCCACTACAAATAATTCGGAAGCAAACTGCCCTTATTTCCCCGCGCTCATGGAGAAGCAGTCACAACGATATCAAATTTTGATTTCTATGCCTTTCAATACTTACACTCCCATCTCAAATAGGATGTGCTTTGTCTATAAGAGGTTGATGTTACCCCTCCATGATCTATAGATACATATTAAAGCTTGTTATCTTTAGAAGAATGCTTTTACATCATAAACTATCACCAAATTTAAGGCCATAGTATGCATTTCTTCTTGAACATGAACCCCATTGGGCTCCAGATTTTCATTCACTTTCTGGTCAAAAATCAGAATAATTGATTGGCAAGTTCATATCAAAGCCTTGTTGGCACAAAAATGTAATAATTTTTAAAGAAAGACCCGACCCTGATCTGAAAATAAATATACAAACCACTAATTAACAAGCAGTTTTAGTAATAATAATGGATCATTTAAAAATGCATTTGGTTCTCATATTTTCGATTTCTCTTTGAAACCACTTAATAATACGATTAATCACAAGTGATCCGAAAGAAGGTTTCTACCTCCGCCAAAGGATTTCAATCGAAATCTGCCGTTCAAACTGTATATCCATTTATGGGTCATTAAGCCCCGTGGACCACACCTAATTAGATATCCCTCCTTTTTTTTTTTAAATAATTTTTTAATTTTTTTTTTTTCCTTAATTTCCCTTCTTTTAATTATATGTTTTTATATTGATTTTTTTGTTTTTAATATATATTTTTAATTCAATAGTGTATATAAATGTTCATGTTCATGTTTTAATTTTTTTTACCGAATAAAATATTTAAAATCAAAAAAAAATAAATATGTTGGAGGTAATGTGTTTTTTAAACTTTAAATCATTTCTTAAGCGCGTTTTTTAAATTTTAAAAATCTGACTTTTCAGGAAATATATTCCAGCATGTTTGGCACCTATTTTATGAATTGTTGGTGATTTTGCCCTTAACCATTGGGTCATTTATAATTTAAATAAAAAGTGGAAAACTAATATAAATTAGACAAATCTAAGAGTTAATGGCGAAATTGCCTGAAATTTATAGAGTAAGTATTCCAAGCATGATGGAAAACATTTCGAGTAAAACTAGATTCCTACATTTTTAAAAAAAATAGTTGTTGAAAAATAACACATAACCTGAAAAAACACATTACCCCTAACATACATTTTTTTTTATCACAGTCAATGGGCTTATACTGCTATATGATGCAATTTGAAAATATTATACTAAAATGTTTAAATATATATGACATAAACTTTTTGTTTATGGCCACTTACAAAGAGTCAAGTTATGAATTCTTTTTTGTGAGTAATGAGTTAGAATAGAATTTTTTATCACATATTAATTATATTAAGTGCCTAGGCTACATTTTATCATTTTGATATTATTAAAGAAACATTTTATATACCATTATTTTAGAGGCAATAATATTTTAAAAAAAATTTCTTCTTCTATTATATAATTAAAGGTTATGGAATGACAACCCCGCACACTTTGCATGGCAAAATGTTTTTGATGCTCTATGGATTACTGGGATGCGCTGGTGGTATATTATTCTTCAACCTATTCTTGGAGAGAGTGATTAATCTACTGGCCAACACGCTGCGCTGGCTTCATACCAAACATAAATGGCGAAAATTTAGTATATATAATATGTATCAAAGCTATACGTCGCAAAAGTTGATGCCTAGAGACGATGTTAAAAGAGGTGAGGGGTTATACTACTCGCGCATGCCCATGAATGAGGATGATACAAACTATAACAAACATAGACGCCATATTTCGTGGGGTACGAGAAATGACGTAAGGAAAAAAAGAGACAATGCCGGCAGGGAAAAACTATTTAAAACAATGAAGAATAGGGAAAACGACAACAAAACGGATAACAAGTCGGCCATTAAAACTGTCGTCGGAAAAATACTCAAAACTAAAGATGAAATGGAGAAGGAGGCGCTCGAAAAATGGAAACCCTCCGTATATTGGGTCCTCATAATTCTCTTTTTGGCGACTTGTCTTATAGGTGGCACCGTTTCTTTACTCTATTCCGCGATGGAAAATTGGAGCTACACTGATTCATTATATTTTTGTTTTATCTCATTCGCGACTATCGGATTCGGAGATTTCGTTAGTAACCAAAAAATGGTAATGGATCCCATCTTGTGGTACAAAGTGGTTAATTTTATTATCCTGGCGTTAGGTAGTTGCTGCACGTATTCGTTGTTAAACGTGATTTCCATCGTCATAAAGCAATTCTTAAACTTGATCCTAAAACGTTTCAAGGCGCTGTGTTGGAAGCATTGTAAATGCTGTTACACCACGGCGTCAAAAGAACAAAAACTGATGGAACAGAAACTTTTGGAGAAGGAGAAGGCTAAGAAATTGAAAAAAGAGGAACACCCGCATAAGCATCATAAGAAAAGGAAAAGCGAAACTAGGCGTTTTTCTCGCATGAATTCGATTCAAAATATATCTAACGGTATCATCCAGTGGAAGAAACGAAGGAGCTCTTTTAGCAATAAGAAGAGTGTTTTCGTCAACGATTATTTCGAAAATAATGGCAATAAAAATTACGTGATGGTAGAAAGAAATCATGAAAATATCAATCCTCAAAATTTATTCGTTTTTACTTCGCTGCGCGATCATGCTGCTGACCATAACGATAGTACAACTTATTCCAGACCACTAGAACGAAAAATGAGCGAGAGAAGCGAATATTTTAGCCGATCCCCTTGGCGAAAAGATTCGGGAGATATGGTGTCTATGCAGGATTTTACGTCGTCCAATAAGGAAGGATTTTTGGAAGAAATGCAAAGACAACTTCTCGAAACCAATAAAAAGATTGGATTTGTCAATTCGCTATTCCCTATAATGTCGGTAAATAACATCGAAGATGAATCTAATCGTTCTCAACCCGATCGACCAGTAATAGCTCAAGATAACCAAATGATGGTTATAGAAAATAAAGGAATTGATCATTCGATTAAAACTAATAACGAAAACTTATCACCGGGAAAAACGCGTCGGCGGCAACCGAAGCCTTTCAATATTAGAGATACCGTAGGTTTTGCTGACAAGAGAGATCTATATGAGATACCTATTAGAAATTATCCAAAAAATACAAACATCATTATTAGCACATATACGGATGCTGACGATGAATTAGAATTGATTCACCCCGAATCAAAACCCAAACCAAGAGAGACATTATTCTCCCCTAAAAAAATGCTATATCCTCGTGATAGCTTGCATGATGAAATAAAAATGTCACATGAAAATGCTAATAAAGGGTTATCGACTTTACCTACCTCGACCAATAAGCTATACAACGACAGAGCATCATGCGTAAATTTAGAAAATCTAGACAAAAAAAAAATATTTACTCAACTTGAACCAGACTTGAACTCTATGAGAAGAGTGAGTGCATTGATTGACTCCTGTCGATCATCGCGTAAAATCACCAATCTGGTCTCTAGAGATTTAGAAAATGGTATAGTTAGAAAATCTGTAACCGACTTAGGTCGTCGAATTTCAAATATCAACGAATCTCAGATAAACAAAAAAAAATCAACTCGACAAAACACAGAATCGGAGAGTGAATCCGATACCGATTCGACCAATGATAACAGCGATAAAAGTGATTCCAATTCCGACTCGAGCGAACATAAACTCGCCGGGGAAGAAATAGGACCATTGGCAATTTTAAATAAAACACTAGGCTAAAAATAATTAGGCTCTTCAAAATGTTTTTAAATCGATTATAAATAAAAACGAAACAAAACTATGCATATATATTATATAAATTTCTTTTATTACATCGATAAAAAAAATAATTTATTTTTGTGAACATTAATAACGCGTGGATGCATTTGATATGAAATTCGGAAGAAAAAATAATATGAAAATAGGCTTATTTGTAAATAATAAAAATGACAAATAAAGTATTTTATTAAATGAAAGTAATAATCTTAATTCGGAAAAGTTAGTAAATAGGTTAGTAAATAAATATAAATTAATAAAACTATATATTATAGTTATCCTTAAATCTATTTTCCAATTTTGAATACTGTCCCAAAATAACCCTGATATATAACCTTTATTTAATTATATCGAAATTTTCTTTCGTTCTTTTTAAGAAAAGAGATTAATTTTACTATACCCTACCCAATAATTTAAATCAAATTAAAAATATAAATAAAAATTTTTAACCTAAAAAAAATTTCAAAAGTATTTCTGTCCGGCTTACTTTGCTTAAACAAAAAATATCCTGAAAAAATTATACTTATTATGGGATAAAAAGATACAACATAATAAAATAAATAGTTAGGGCGATATCCGCTGAAGTACATAAAAATAGACGAAAATAGAGCATATTTTGTATACTTCGCCGTGAATTCATACTAACTATGAATACGGGGTTAAGCTGCGTTTAAACTTATCTATTTTTGTTCCTACTTCTGAATAAAAAATTCAATTCATAAAAAACAGCCAAAAACACCCTTTTTGGGATTTTTTTTTCTAACTTCCCTATTATAAATTTTGATATAAAGGCTCTAGTACCAAAATACGCTTAATTTTTCAAATCATATTCCATTCAGACAGCTATTTTGAATTATAAAAAGAAAAGACACAAGCTAGGACGCAGCCTTATAAAATGGTGCATAATTATTTGCCCGGGAAATTTTTGTATGATATCCGCTTTTATGAAAATCTTTTCTACAATAAAATTAATCTTTTGATACACAGAATTATGGGCGTAGGAAAATAAATATAAAATATGTTCAAGCCATGTATAAGTCGTATTGGAATGGAATCTCTGATGAAGGCGAATTTTAAATTTTAAAAATTTGATTTGACTGAAAATGCATTCCTTCCAGTATATGTTATAATATATATCCTATAAATCTCAGACAATTCCGGCCATAAACCTTTTGTATATTTTTTTTCTTTAATTTATATGAAAAAATCTATATAAAAAATTGATGTATTTCATAATTTCGAGGCTTTATTATTTGAAATTCGCAGTGTAGAATGATGCTATATACGTTTTGGAATATATATTCGGTCAAGTCAGATTTTTCAAATTTAAAATTGCCCTTCAGCAAATGATTTAAAATTGAGATATTTAAATCACCGTGAATTACGTATCCTAATACGAAATATATTACAATAATAAAATTATATAATATTAATTGTTTATTGATTACTATATCACAAAGATAGTTTACAAAAAACGGTATGTTGTAAATCAGCAACTAGTAACAATTTTAAGGCAAATTGACGTGTGAATTTATGAAAAAAAATTTGCTATAAATCATCGATGTTAAAACTAGGTCCCTTTTTGGCTGCTAAAAATTTTCTGGCATCTATAAAAAAAAATATATAATAAATTTTGATAGTTATCAAGTCGTAAAATATAGTTTCTTTAATAATGTGCATAAAATTGTTTTATATATATAATTTTATTTTATAAAGTTTCATTTCGAACAATATCTATATCAAGCCGATGACCTACTGACGTCAAAACTGATATTAATACAGTATCGTATGGACTAATATAACCGATATCTATAAAATTATATTATCATATAGTAGTTTGCCAATAGATGAAAGGATGAAACGTCTATTAAAGAAATCTCGAGGCTTAAACAATATTTTTTTTTGGATAAAATATTGAGTTAGCCCTTTTTAAAAATCGGTTGAAATCGGAACGTTTACAACATTAATTCTCCTGATCCCTTTGTATTTGGAGTAAAATTTTGTATACAAACTAAAATACATGTAACTAATGCAGTGTTTAAATTCTAGCATCCTTTTCGGATTGTTATTAGTTATATTTCCATTTTTCAAAAGTATCCTAATTTTATATATATTTTTTTAATGTGGCTGTTCATTTTAATCTCATTCAAAAGTTTATAATTCTTGTAAAAGATAATAAATTTCTCAACTAAGACCAATTTATATATGTATATAAAAAATTGGATTGCCAAATTTCGCCTTCATAGGAAAAGTCGATAGAATCACATCAAAAACAAGTGTTTAAAGAGGGAAAAAAAATTAATTATAAAAAACTCATTTATAATGAATAATTATTGTTCTTAAGATTTAATCACAGATATCGATTAAAATTAAAAGTATACCCAACATAGATACTGTCTGAGACCATATTTGCTCAAATCTGATTTCGAACTTTACGAAGCGCCATTTAAAATAAGCTAAATTGTATTTTAAACGACATTTTGAAAAGTTTGAATGATCACAAGTAGATTTATTAAACTACCCGATTTGGGTCGATTTTTAAAAAGGGTTCAATTAAGATTTTAGCCTTGATAATATTATGCAAGCATGTTGACTTTGCTCATAGATGGCAAAAAGGTTTTAGATTGGGGCTTACTATAATATTATTTTGGCTAAGGCCGTTTTAAAAAATAAACATTAATCCGACCATTTAACAACATTAATCATGAGCATAAAAATTTAGAAATGATACTTTACAAGTTAAATTGCTAAAAATAAATTATAAAATAATACTCATAAACTACCCGTTAAAATAGTTTTCCTGATTTTAGGTTTACAATGTTTCTTGGTAGTTTTAGCATTTTTAGTGTCTCGAATTCTAATGTACCATTGTAAATGCTATTAACAAAGTTCAAGCAGGGCTCTGCAACACGGGCAATGATACAATTGTGTCATTGAAATACCAGAGGGATAATTCAGGAAATAAGCTGTCAACATAGTCAGCATCCATTTTATAAATGAATCATCTTATGTTTTAATCATCAGGCCTCAGTGTCATTGGCTTAGAGGCGTCTAGAGCAGTGGCGTATCTAGGTTTGCTTGAGGGAATGCAAAATAAATGACATAATATTTTAAATATTTTATTAGCAAATCCCATATTTATATAAGTTAAAATAAAATTTTATAAATTTGGTGAAACATTAGGGGGGTATAAATGCCCATTTAATCACCCTTTAAATATGCCACTGGTCTAGAGGGCCTTCATTTTTTATACTGTATACTATATAAAATTGTGTCTAATTAAATTATTAAAAAGTGTCAAATTGTATATTTTTTAAAAAAAATTGTAAGAAATAAATTAAGGTTTAAAAAAGATTAATTGTTTGGACAATCATAATCTCAAACTAATATATTACAAATCATCCATAATCAATTTAATAAATCAAGATATATTATATATTAAATAACTTTTAAATATCTCAGAATTTATGGTGGCATTGGAGAGTAAATCATCTAAATTATCACCATGATGAAATGTATAATTGTATGCTACTTCTCTATCCAGTAGTAAAGCATCCTGTGGGAATTTAGCAATGGATGCTGCAACATTCATAGCCTTGCCTATAGCTTTTTTTTATATAATGAATAGTGTTTGAAAAATTTATATAAGTTAACTATCAAAAATTTAATATATATGTAAGATATCAAATCTAGAAAACATTATCTAAAAAAAAATATTTAAAAATTAAAGTTGATTATGAAGATATAACCAAATAAAAATTAATAAGCCAAATCTAAATTTATTTCACAATATATTTTATATCAAAATAATAACAATAACTCATCACCTGTACCATCTACTGTTATCATATTGACTAATCCCCATTCCATTGCTTCTTTTCCTTTAATTCCACGACCAGTTATAAGTAAATCTTGTGCCCTTGAATAATTTATAATTCGAGGTAAGATTCTTTGCGCTATGCCATCAATAGAAGGTAGTCCAAATCGTCTATTAAAAAGTCCCATCACACTGCCTTTATCACATATTCTCATATCAGCTAATAATGCCAGTTCTAGTCCTGCTGCAACAGCATATCCAGTTATTGCTGCAATTAAAGGTTTGGTAGTGTTAAATCTCATTTCCAAACATGAGTTTAAATTATTATTTAAATTTTGTCTATCTTCACAATTTTGCCCTTTTCTCTTCTTCTAAAATAATTTAATATTAAATATATAATGTTGAAATACCATTATGTAGGAGAGTTTTTTAATATTTTCAAAATCATCTTTATCATTGATATTAGATATATCATATCCTGAAGAGAAGTTTCCACCTACAATAAATATATATAGTAGTACTTTATTTACTATATTTTACTACCATTTCCATATAAAACTGCTACACTTGCATCACTTTTATTAAAACTACACAAAGCTTCAGACAAGTTTTCTATAAGCTCATCATTTAATGCATTATGTTTTTCAGGTCTATTGAGGCCAATTAAAAAAATTTTATTAAATTTTTCATATATGACAGTCGATTCTAAAAAAAATAGAGGTGAAGTGATACAATTAATTTTATACCTTTAAATTTGCTTGAAATTTTAGTTAGCATATGTTTCAGATATTGTGTTAAAATTTTCCCGGTCGTTTAATAGAAAAATTTCCAAGATAGCAAGAACGCTGTATGTTCACTGCCAGCAGGCGCGTGCTCAGCGGGGGTGGGGCAGGGAGAGAAATCCCCTACCCTCAAGATAAAAAATGCAGATGCCGGATTATATTTTATTGTTAATATTAATTTATATTTGTTAATATTTATTGCTATCTCATATATCTATTTAATTACATTAATTTATCACATTCATCTACTAAGTTATTTTATCAATTAATTTCGATTTCAAGATTTCCTTGGCGTAATTTACCTCTTATTTTCAAATTTTAGTGGCGTATTATTATCTAAATTTCTAGTCAAATAACAAATATCTCTGAAACTCCTTGTCCAACAGGGAGAAAAAAATTGCAAGCTTGTCCATCTCCGCCATCAATAAGTAACAGCTTTTATAGAGTTAGAAGAGCCGATTATTAATGCTATTACTGAAATATCACAATGGCTTGAAAGAAATATTTCCTCAGAAGCAAGAAAATTATAGGATTCAATACTTATTCCAAATTTTTTTCTCATTAGAATGTATTATTTAATTATACAACTATTTTATGTAATACTTTTCAAAAAACATTGACTTGATTAAGAAGATAAGAATAGCGGAGAGCATTTTATTAGAACTCAAGGAAATTAGAGCTATTGTTGACGAAGAATTTCATATTTTATATGTTATTGTTAAGTCAAAAGCAGATCTATACGTGTTTAATATTTGTCTCCCTCGACTTGCAGCAAGCAAGAACATCGTCAAAACATTAATATAAGATGAGTGGAAGAGTATTATAAAACAAATGTCCCCTCTCTTATATACATTTATAATCCAAAAATGAATGGTTTTTAATTTCATCATGCAGCACTTACAAATCTGCAAGTATTACTTCCGCCTTTCCAACCTTTTTCAGATGAGGATAGAAAAAAATAATATTTGTTAGATTTTTATCATGAAGATGTTAAAGTATCTTATGATGCCTTATTAGCAGAATAACTATGATTAAAATATTAACTATGGTTGATACAGTCCCAAAAAATGCTATGGATGCGTTGCATTATTTCAAACACATTTTAGATTATATTCCCAATGTATTAAAATGGTTATATATATATTAGCAACTATTCCCATTAGTAAACTAATGAGAGAACATTCTCTTTTTTAAGAAGAATAACAGAGCCCTGCAGAGGTACCATTTGCAGGGCACAGCCCAGACCTTTTTTAAAAAAATTTTTCGGCCCTCGTTTTTTTTAAAAAAAAATTTTCAGCCATAAAATTTTCAAGCTCGGCCCGAATTTTTTAAAAATAAATTATGTTTATTTTTGATATTTATACCTAATAATGGCGATTTCATTTAGTTTTAAAATATACAGCTCGGCCGGGATATATTTTTTTATCAAAATTGTCAGGCCCAGCCCGGGTGTGTTTTGTTAAAAATTTCGGGTCCGGCCCGCGTAAGTTTAAAAAAGTTAAAATACGGACCGGCTTGGGGCCGGGTCTGCAAGTCTCTGAAAAACATACCTATGAAATACAACTTCTGAAAGTAGATTGAATGATTTGGATCTTTAGAATAATCATAGGCATTTAACGCCAAGCAAGGATAGATAATTAAAAATTAGTTCAAAACATACAAAATACAATTATTCCTAAGAAACTTTTAGTGTGTTAATTTATATTTCCAACATTTATATTTTTAATACTTTATATATTTTAAAGGCTCAAAAAATTCAAATTTTAATTTTGGGTCATTTAAGTGATTCATATCGTGGTTATATTCACTTTATACTTTATAATTCACATTTATTTTATAGTTTTTCAATGCCAGTTTATATATTATAATTTTTTTATAATTCACATTAATTTAAAATTGTGTATTAGTTATTAGTCCTAATAAATTTATGCTTAGTATTTTTAATTAACAATAATATATAATATTTCTTAAAAAATTGTGTCACTATACTAACTTTTTTCGTCTTAATAATTTTTAATATATTAGTTAAATATGTTTTTGGCAAATGAGTCGGGTCACACTAAATCAAGATAAATCAAAAAAACAATTTTTTTTTAATCATTCATAATGTGAAATTATAAAAAAGTAAGTATCCCTTATTCAATATTCAATGAAAATTATTCAATAATTCAAAAAGTATTATCAGAGCAATCCTTCAGATATATTTTTGTAAATATTATATAATGGCCACCAATCGGTATGTATTATAAAAGAATATCACCAAAACAGGCAATCAAAGGCGTAAAAAACACTCCTAACTACTGCAGCTAACATCATATTCCATTATAATTTTTTGCCTAAATTATATTAATATTATTAAGCATATTTTAATAATCTTGATTTAAAAAATATACATATCAGAGACCTGGACACCATGGGCCATATTATTTTTAAAATATACCCGGGCATAGAATTTAATTTTCTTAACTACCTAGGTATGGTCTAAAAAAAATTTTTTTTAAATACCAGCAGTGGCCCCAAAAATTTATGAGCGATGGAAGCAGAATACCCCCACCCCCAAAAAATACCCCCCCCCCCACTCCAAAAAAACAGTTAATTATTTTAGAACATAAGGAATGGTTAATAAATATTTAATAAAATTGATAAATAGGGAAATCAGAAAATTTTAAGAGCAAACGATAAAGTATAATAAACGAATAATTTTTCTAGTCTTAATCATAAGTCTCAGAATCATAATAATCATAAGAAGAAACTAAATAAGGTATTAATAATATAAATATTTTAATAAAATAAATCTACAATTCTCAGAATCTGACAAATCTTTATATTATTCAACCTATAGATCATTTGTTTTAGTCATAATATAAATATTTCGAAACACTTTTTTTCCAAAAACTTTCCTATGGTAAAATTCACAGATATCCTTAATATTATAATTAACGAATATCTTTTCCGTCATTTCCTTTGTGGTAGCAAATGATGTTTGATAAAATTTCATCTATTCGTTATTGAATCTTTCATTAAATCGCATAGTGCAGCATTAACTGATTTTATAGCTAAAATAAAATATTATCAATGAAAGTATATAAACCTATCCTTTTTGAAGTAATGTTTGAAGTCTAGAACGATTAAAATCCAGGAATTACACGAAGGTCATTTGGAAGCAGGATAAATCAAATCCTTAGACAAAGTTCACATGTGGTGGTCTGGTATGAAATGGAAGTAAAAAGTTGTGACGACTGTAATATATCATGACAATCCTAAAAAGATGTAAAAACCATAGGTTTCGGCAACTAAGCTGTAAGAAAGAATAAGATCCTCGTTTATTTATTATTACCATAATGTATTTAGACAGAATAATTAAACAGAATAAGACAGAATTTTATTATCATTTTATTTTTATTTTAAATTACATTTTTTTATTAACCAAAAACAATTTTTCTTTTTATATCTTCCAATTATGTGAAATACAAATTGATATAAAAAAATTTAACATTAAAATGATATAAAAAAAATGTTAATATAAAATTTTCACCGAAAGGTATAATTCATGATCGCCAAGCAATACGCCACCCATGTTCATGGTGCAGTCTTCTTTTCAAACCGAACGATGGCTTGGTAAGGTAAAAGCAGCCCTTAGCTAATTTCCAAATCGGTCGCTTTTGCATGGTATCGGACATCTAGAGTTCTTTCGAGCAAGGTTTATGTTGTCCTTCAGCCAGCCAACCAATTTCTAAGTCGTTGCATTGATCATGGCACACGGAATTCTCCTTGAAGGTATGATCTTAGGCACAGCATCGGGCTTCAAGTGAACTTTCTCTTGTCTGACTATTTTGGGTTTGTAGGAGTAAGTTGATTCGAGGTCTTTTTTTGTTGTCAAAATTACCTTCTCGAGATCATTCTCTACGCTAAGAACGTTTTTAATATGTTGTTGAAGGCGTGGAGCCACATCCGTCCTAGCAGGGGAACCTTATCACAATCCACTACATGGCCTCCAGTGTATGTGAGTTTCCTTCATACGTAACGTTCACATTGGCAAGACTTAATATCTTGATGGCGCTGCCTTCATAACCAGTGAGTTTCATATCCGTCTAACGTATCATGGTTATGCCTACAGTATGTTTCGTGTACATCGTGCCGGTGTCAACTTGCATCAACGTGGGTATGTTGTTGATGCTCACCATCACGTTGTACGCATCATAGGTGTCGTAGGCCACCAGATTGTGCACTTCAAGATTCTGAAGATTATATTCTTTAAGGTCTGTGTTTAGGTCGTCGTCATCATCGTTTACTTCGATGTTCATAGCATGGTTCGTATTCAATTGACAATCACGATCTTTGTAATCAGAAGATCTGTTGTAAGTATTATTGTCATTTTTGTACTGGTTGGGCCTCGAAGAATATTTCGGAAAACCATTAATATTTTGAGGGTTGTGTCTGTGCTGACCACGACGGGAATAGTTGGTTCGGTTATCACCTCTATAGCAGTCATCCCGTCGATCAGGGCTTTGATGATGGTCACAATGATAGTCGTGGCGATTGCCATTGACGTTGTACCCGCTATTGTTGTATCGATCGTCATAGTAGTTATCGTTGCGATTGTCAAAACGGTTGCGGTTATAGTGACAATTATCGTCGCTTTGATCTAAACGATTGTCGTGGAAGTTGCCGTGCCATCCCTCGAATCGTTTGTCGCGGCCATTATCGTAGCGTATCCTGTAATGTTCATCCAATCGTTTGTCGCTGCAGTAGTCGCAACGTACATCGTAACGTTCATCGAAATGTTGTCCGTGGCGATTGTCATTGATGAATTGGAGTTGCTTGATAAGAGATTTACCATGTGCATGAGAGTACTGAATGGGTTTTGTGGTTACGTAGCTATTTTTTACTCTGACAATATGATTAACCTCTTGTATTCCAGGTGATTCAGTCTATAGTGGCTTCAACTTTCATCACGCCCTTGATGTCATTTGGCTCCGTGATGTCTTCCTCTAGACCTATGTAAATTTCTTCTATAGTCATAGAGCTTCTGACCGCTTTCCTGACATCTTTGGAAATCGAAGCAACTCTCACTTTCTCAATAATGCGCTGAATGCCATTGAATTTGCATCCTTTATTGAGTCTTGCTACGCGTGTGACCCAAGCCGAGAACGTCTCGTCCTTGCTATGAGTGGCAGCATAAAATAATGAGAGTTTGGCGTTCTCAGTCTTTGGCGGATGTTGTAGCTTGAATTTGCCAAGCAGAGCGATTGGGTCCTGGAAGTCTGCCTCAGTGCAAATTGCTCCAATGTTATTGAATTCGTCATCTGGAAGACTTCGGAGAAACAACGCGGCCTTTTCTCCATTGGAGATCTTGCTGGTGTCAAAGAAATTCTGCAATTTCACCGCTGCTAAATTTAAGGAAATCCAGCTTGACGAATTCAGTCATATATCTGGAATAATTTCCAATTATCAAAATTATTACAACCGAAATATTACATTAAAAATATTTTTAAAGCCATTTAGCTATTCGTAATGCCTGAAACTATAGTTACTGATAATGATAACAACACAAGTAATGATTTTGAGAAATTTAGCAACGATTATGGTATCAAGCATGTACTTACGCCCGCATACCACCAGCAGTTTAATGGCCAGGTGGAACGTATGGTGAGAACGTTTAAAATGCACATGAAAAGAAATATAAAGATTGAGATGTTTCACTTGACAAATTTTTATTCAATTATAGAATCACACGAAATGATATAACAGGAGTTACACCTTCCAAAAGAATGTTTAATCGCGACATTAGAATTAAATGAGACTTAAAACCGTTAGAGGAAAAATAAGATCGAGATAACATAACTATCACGTAATAGAACCTTTAATGAAAATTTTGTTTGGTATAAAATACAAGGTGATGACAAAAGTAGAAAGGCATGGTCATGCACAAAGAAAGTGAGCAAGTTAAAACAGATGAAGGTAAAAGGTATTATAAGAAAACATTTAGACCAGTTAAGAAAAAGAGGATACTAACTTTAAACTTTTAAGTAGGGAAGAGTGGACTTAAATAAAAACACCATAAATAAAGATAAAGTAATACCAAATTCTAGACCAATACGTATAAATCAAAAACCTGTTTATTTAAAAGATTACGTAACTTAATATATGTAAAATAAATATTTAATACTAAAACACGAAAATAAATTAAACTTTATAAACATGATATAATTGTATACCAAACGGATTAAAATAATATAGACAACTAGGTATTGATCAGTGATAAAATTTTAGAATAAATGCTTTCATTCTCTCTGTAATCATAAGAGTGGCCAAAAATGTGTTACTAATAATGTGTACCTTTATACTAGCTATTATGCTTGTTAAAGCACTCATAGGCGTTGGTAAAGCATGAAACATTGACATCATAGATTTTAGAATGAAAGCTTCCAATTTTTCAACCATTCTATAATCATCATTCATAGACCCGGCCAAGGCTGAGCAAATGTGGGTTAAGGCCCTAAAAAATTTCATAAACCCCTCCCACCCACCTCCTCACCCTCAATATAGCTTGGCTGCGCCATTGCTACTGTATATTATAGGTAAATAAATTAGTTTTTGAGATTAATATTATTTTTAGTCCATCTCCATCACATTTACAAACAAAATAATATATATTTTGCCAAAATAAGCAGCAAATATAAAAATAATCTTCACTTTAGAATAAAGAATATTATTTTAAATTTTCTTTTATTAAATGCTGAAACCTTCATGGGTCGGGCCGGTCTGCGGCTCGCAAGCCCATATACGGTGCGCCGAGCTTGAGTTTTTGAATTTTATTAATGGGCTTGGGTCTAAATATTAAATTTAAAATTGGTTTATTTAAAACATAACCTAGAGAAATATTGCTATTTTTTCTTCTAATGATATTAAATTTCTCTTATTTTTATTAAAACAATAAATTAAATTTTTGGATATGAGTTAGGGCCGGGCTTAAATAATTTTTGAAACTTATTATGTACTTGGAAATTTTTATAAATATTAGATATGAGCCGGTCTAAAAGAAATTTTACTGCTGGGCAGGGCTTGGTCGAAAAATTAAAGCCCATGAAGGTCTCTGTTAAATGATTTCATATTAGCTGAAAAAAGAACCGTCAATAAATGCCGAATCGGCAATTATATTTTAAACCCTGATCAAAGATTTTTAAACACGGGCCGAGTCGAATTTTTTAAAATAACAGAAGCGGGCCAAAAGTTTGAGAATCCCGGCCCAAAACAAGCGATTAGTACGTTTGTGGGTCTCTAATTAAACCCGCATGGTAAGGTTAATTTTGTATGAATAGGATTTTTTTAATATACCAATAAACTTTGGCTTAAAACTCTATAAAATCATTCCACTTAATACATAAATAATAAATGATAAAAAAATTTTTTTTAGTAAAAGCATATGTTTTTCCGCTAAAATAAATAAATATTTTTGTTTGTTTCTTTATTTATTTAAAAAATAAAATTTCAACGATTTTTTATATTTTTTTTAAAAATATATATTATATTCATATTGTAAAAGGTAAATAATTTTAAAAATATTTTTTTAACACAAAGAATTCGTTTTTGTAAAATATTTGTTCAGATGAGTTTTTCTTTAAAACAACACAAATAAGTTTTCACTTTAGAATTTGCCATCCTTCAATTTAATTTACCACAAATTTTAAATGAATATCAAAAAAACAACCTAAGTAAAAAGCTATCAGAATATTTAAATATTTGAGAGAAATAACAGAAGAAATGTGCCTCAGTGCAAATCTTTTTTAAATACCATAATAATTATGGTTTACATTGAACAAAATATTAATATAAAATAAGTATGAAATACATTTTATTTTATATACATATATTTTTTTCTGATTTTTCACTTTAGAGAAGGTCATCCTTCAATTTAATTTACCACAAATTTTAATTGAAATTTGTTTTTAAAAAAAGTTCTAACAACCTAAGTAAAATGCTATCAGAATATTTAAATATCTGAGAGGTAAAAATTATGTGAATAAGAGAAGAATTGTGCTTTAGGTCAAATCTTTTTTAAATACCATAATCTTATCTCATTTATGGTTTTCATTGAACAAAATATATTAATATAAAATTATGATTGCCTCGCCAAAGAATATTTAAAAAAATTAATTTGTAAGTTTTTAAAAACATTTTTAAACGAATTTTAAAAGAAGAGAGGATTAATTATATAATGAATCACTTAGGGCAAATCTTTTCTAAATGTCATCTTATCTTATCTTTATAATTTTCATTGAACAAAATATATTAATATAAAATAAGTATGATTGCCTCGCAAAAAGAATATTTAAAAATTAATTTGCAAGTTTTTATAAATATTGTTGGCTACCCCTTTGATTATAAATGTGTTGTTTTCGAGTCAGGACCGTCCCTATAGGCGCTTTCCCTAGGCAGCACAAAAATAGAGCGGGCAGAAGATTACATATATTATAGTGCGTGCCATCAACCAATCAGGAATTTAATAAGATTCGGAACAAACGCAATTTCATGATTATTCATAACCCATTTCTATTCCGGCATGCCCCCCCCCCGAAAAAAAATTCCAAAGAGTTCATCGTCTAAATTCCATTATAATCTTTTATTTAAGTTTGACTTTAGAAACATTAAAATATTAAAAAATAATCTCCCCTTTGCAATTTTTTTACTCCTCAATAACATTTTAGGCTGATTGGGAGATAAGTATGTGATGACCGAAAAATTCGGAAAAAAATTTTTAACCGGCCGTGGCGAACCTTTTGATTTGATAGGCTGGTCCTGACTTCTTGTTAAATTTTAACAAAGCGTGATGATCTCTGTTATATTTATTACCAATTGAACAAGAAATTGAATTTTTATTTGAAATTAAACTACATAGAATTAGAATTGAAATACTGTTTTTAAATTTTATCTGCTTTTATATGTATATAATATATCAAACTAAAATAACTATTCAAATTATAAAGCGTATGTACAATAAAAGATAAAACACAATTCAAATTTAATATTAAAATATAATGCAAAAAGAGTTTTTTCAAATTAAAACGTTAACTTAATTTTAATACTAATTTTAACATGAATTTAATTTATTTCATTATAACATCTTTTCTCTTAGAGAGAATCTTTTATGCTTAGAGAGAATATATGAATCTTTTATGAATCTGTATAGAGAGAATGGAATTAGAATTCATTAACCTATTTTGCATATGCCCATTAAGTCAGTAATGAATTGATTTCCGTTGATATCTTCTGTTTCCGCTATTTTCTTATTTTGTCCTTCAGATAATCAATAAACATTCATTTATAAATTATAAAGGAGATTTAGAACCTATTGGGCATATCTTTAAACGATTTTATAACATGAATCGATCACTTTATTCATTTTTCAGCTCTACGTTGCCATATCTGTTCATATGCCTCAAGCCGTTAAAGCATCCAGAATGAATAATTCAGATCAAGAATTCACAGCTTTTCAATCTGATAACATCCACGTTCAAATATTAAATCAAGGTTGATTATACTTTATGTTGAATCTCTGGGCCATGAGAATGCAGTAGTAAAGTGGCCTTATTATTACCAAATCTTGACCTTGCACAATACGAAGATCTGGCTAGATACCCATCATACATCATGCTGTTTCAATTTTCAAAAGCAATCGAATTTTATCGTTCTGACGCAGTATTTGTATTCAAAGCCTGTTTGATTTTTATTAGATTTGCTATGATATAAACTATGATCAACATGTTAGAGGTCTTAAGTGATAAGATGCACCGGATCTAACGATATTTCTATAACATAGCGTAACCGATAAGTTCTAAACGTGCAATTAAACAATTCTTTAGATACAATCATTTGGCATGTAATGTTCAACCCCTACTCTTTTCGTTGATTTTGATTTGTTTATTTGTAAGTTATTCTTTCATCTTTCATTATAAGGCATGTGCTAATCATTTATATAACATTAAATCTTGTTCTAATCACCATTATTAGAAACTAGGGAAGGGTTATTTTTTGTACAATTACTTGTTTATAAATATCACTTTTATAATATTCATCTTGACAAAAAAATATTAATTATATGCAAAAATACGATTATAAAAAAATATATTTCAAATTGCCTATCAACAAACCCTAAATACTTGTAATTAATATTTACAAGAGTGTATGTAGAAAAAAAAGGCATAAGTCATTTATAATGTTTTTATTTGTAATGCACGAAAACTCTTATTGTATTAAATTAATGTGAAAGTATCTATTAAAAAATTATGACAGAATGTTGTAGACAAATTATATTTAAAAAAATCAAGTAAAGTTTGATCGGTTCAAATTTTATTATGTAACACATTTTCTATGCAAAAAAAAACTTTGAATATGAAATTTCTAGTTCGATGCATACTGTTCCTTATAAGGAAAGCATACATAGAACTAGAAATGAATATCATAGGAAAAGAAAATATGTGAAACAAAACAAAAGTTATAGATCAAAAGTTGATCAAATAAAACTATAATACTTCAAACCTTCTGATACATAATTTATCAAAAAAAAAATAACAAATAATATTTTCGTTATAACCTTGAAATCATTATAACAACCTATATTTTTTTATACATAAACCTTATAAATATTAATTACAATGTCAATTTTTGGTAAGAAAGTTACAAAAGATCAAAAACGGAAGATTTTTATGTTAGTGTTAATGATTAACATATAAAAGGAAATTTATTAATAGATGAAGGTCAGTCCCCTTTAGTTTCTAATAATCAATAATTTAACGAAATAGAATTAATTATGTAAAGCTATCACATCCAACGATTGCCTTATAATGAAAGTGGAAAATAACTGTTAATGAATTATCGTGTTATTTTATTTTGCCAGGTCAACTTGTTGCAATAATATTTATTATTTAAAGGCCGGTGCTAATTTCACAATATAGAGCTTAGAGGTAGGCGAAAACAAATATCGCAGATCCGGGCATCTTGTTCAATAGATATTTTATGGCGTCGATCAAGGCTGGGCCATGCCGATCTCTAAGTTGAAAAGCATTCTTTCCTTACATTTTCTGGTCTGAACAATAACAATTGGACTGTTTTTGATAATTTTTACAGCCGGCCATCTGCCGTTTTTCTGGCCGGATTTTTATTTTTCTATTTCAAGAGTTAAACTAAAGTCTATTTTACTCTGGTTCTCATAGCCCAGCATGCAGATTCAAAATAAAGTACAATCAACCCTGAATTCTTATCTCTATAAGGACATTTCAGTCTTGAGAAAATTGAAAATTTTGCGCTAAAGGGGCTGGATGATGTAACGGCTCATGTATATCTCCAGCCCAAATGTTTTTTTTGACATATCCCAGAGAATTCAGAATAAATTACAATCAAATCTGATTTTATCGCTAGAGAAACATTTCAGTTTTATGCTTAAAAAAAATTAAAATAGATTTCGCCCGTAACTTATTGAAAATTGTTGCAACTTGTTTGTATCAAGTTAAGATCCGCAGTACTATATTATTATATTAATATTTATAATTTTAAAAAAAACAGTTGATAAAAATTTGGTTTTAAAAAATAATAATGATTCAATGACCCCCTCCCCTCAATTCTTTTTTAATTGATAATATTTTTAAAAAATTTGACATTTCTTATCTTCTCAAGAAAAAAATTTGATGGCGGGCCTAGAGACTTCTGATGAAAATTATATGAGACGGAAGCCATCCAGAAGCTTCCGCCTTAAATCCTGGATGCGCCTATTAAAGATAGAGTTCTAACAATTTGCTTTAACTGTTTATTTAAATCTCTAACCAATTTAAAAACACAATAATTTTATTGACTTAAAATTCATATCGGGTTCACATTAGAGCTGTTAGTACCAAAGTTTTTTTTTATCTCTCTATATAAGAAACCTCAATGTGATGTTTCTCTACAACCTGTGCTTATTTTCAATTATTGCCATTGTCTCGAAAGCCTCACCCCCTGGACTCTCACCTGTTTGTCAGAAAAAAGGGTATTATTACACTATACATATGGATATAATATTATTTGTAATTAATCGAACTTATTTTTAAATTAAGTTTTACGAAAGCGCCTTTGATCTTAATAAATTTGGATGGATTTCATCCCATTTACCTCAAAAAGGCTGCTGCCAAAGATTTAGCCTATATAGGTTCCAAGGGAGTCATGAGTGAATATATGAGACCAGTCTATCCAACCAAGACCTTTCCAAATCTTTATACGATAGTAACGGTAAGTATAATACATGTTTTGTTTTGTCTCTTAGTAATTTGCTTAATCAAACAATTATTGTATTAATGAAAAATCACTCGAAATTTTATGATTAAATTGTCGATATTTTTTAGATAGGTATTTATACACCGGTAATGGAACAAAAATATATTTTAGGCAAAATTAGATTTTTTTTAAAATTTGAAAGAAAAAAAAACGCCCTTATATAATGATAGTGCTATTTTTCGCGCGTTTTTTAAAATAAGATTTGAATAATCTTTCGCCGGAAATATATTCCATCTTGCGTATTTTACCACTTTCATAAATTTCTACCTAAGACATACTTTGCCGTTAACATAGTATAATAACAAAGTTAATTAATTAGATACTAATTTCATCTACATAAAAATTAACATAAAATGAAAGGGATTATACCCGGAAAGCCATGGAATTGTCGAAAATCATTTTAAAGATCCATCGTCGGGCACCGAGTTTTATCACAGTAAGAACGAAACGCATAATCGAATTAAATGGGGTGGAGAACCAGTGAGTTTTTTTTTGATCATATAATTATTCGGATGACGATCATTTGAATTTTAATTAAACTTAATTATTCATATAAAATTGATAGCATGTATAATGATAATAATAATATTAATAAACATTTTTTTATTAAGATATGGATAACCGCCAAAAAGAATGGCATCGATTTTGCTGTTAAACACTGGCCTGGATCGCAAATAAATTTTGATGGTTTATAAATATATATATATATTATTTTTTTTGTAATTACATACCATTTTTAAAATATCTTGGCCGAATTCGGTTGGTTAAACGAAAACTAGTCTGATGCCGTGCTGTACATATATTTTACATACATCAAATTCCTACCGGGCCGGCCCATGACCTGGGCATGCGTTAAAATTATCATCAATAAAATAATATAAGCCTCGCCATTTAACCCGGAAAATATTTATGTTATATTTCCTATCATTTTTGCCTAATTAAATCCAATTACATGACTTGACTGACAATGTATTCCTTTAATAAATTTAAATTTAAAATGCATAAAAAAGTGTAACATATATCCGCCATTGAATTTAGACGAAATTTAAAAGGCATAGAACAAAATGCCTTTCAATGAAGTCTATTGCCGCCAATGAAATTGACTGCAACTTTCAATGTATATACACTTTAATAAATGAATGGTCATTCTAGGTAAGTAGTTAATGTCTTTGGATTGAATATTACAATTTGCTGACTATTTAAATTTGATGCATAACATTAAAATAGAGAATAAAATTAATAATTTAAAATATATTTCTTAATATGATTTATATTAGTAGGGCAATGAACGACTCCCCTAGACCTAGAAAATATAAACGCCGGACTTCGGACCCACTCTGGCCGAAATAAATTAATTTTACTACATCTTAGGTCTCTATTACACCAAAACGCTAAATTTGTTCTTAGTATCATTATTTTTTTTAAAAAATAAATTTCACGATAAACGGAAAGTTTGTGAGAAATGATTACCATTTTCATCCTCTCTAAAAAATTTCATAATTATTTCTTAACCAATATATTTTTCCCCAGATAAATTTCTATTTCTCCTAAATGACATTTATTTTATTTTTCGTTTTTTAGGTATTGGGCCTAGTGAGTTTTCCAGACCTGGAAGGTTATTTATCGCTTTTCTATCTTATATCATTATTCGATTTAATCCATTTTATTTATTTATTTTTAAATTGAAAAATAGGACAAATTATAAAAATAACATCGAGCAAATATTTAAATGGTTAAAACTCCCAGAGGGTAAAAGACCCGGATTTATGAGTCTCTATTTTAACGAGCCCGATCATTCTATTCACAAATTCGGACCGAATTCAAACGAAGTTAATCATGATATTATTCGTCAGCTGAATATTATATCCACTTTTATTGCAAAGCTGCGTTTATTTTGATAAATTAATCCTTCGACACATTATATTATTCACGATAAAAGTTTTAAAATATAATTTAGAATCATCCTTTTTCTGTTAAGTATAGAACTAGTGTTATTAAAAGGCCAGATTAAGATTATAACCAAGATAACATTTTGTAAACCTAAGAATTTTGTTCATAGTTGGAGAAATGCTTGGACATCTATTCACCAAATCTCTATGCTTACATAATATTATTTTAGCTAAAATCTTAATCGGACCATTTTGAAAAAAAACGACCCTTAACAACTATATAGAACACTATGATACTCAGCCGACAAATTATGAAACTTTATTCTCCTTAATTATTGTTTTAATGGGGGGCAAAAAAAATTTTTAGGTTGATACGGCTATAAGCAAAGTTGGAACTAGTATACGTTATTTGTTCAATACCTTAAGCAAAGCTAACCTGATTGAATGCGTTAATATTATTATAGTGTCAGATCATGGTAAACTATTTTATATAGTGTATTGCATTCAGAGTTTGAAATGCTCTAAAATTTAATGATTTTTGATTTCTGAAGATTGTTTTTAGATTTTATTTTTGAGTATACTCAAACGCAAACTATTTTTTTTTTAAATTTTAAATCTTTTTTGTGATTTAGCGTAATTACGAATTTTTTAAGAAAAATATTTTGATCTTTCGAAGATTTTTTGCTTATGCAATTAAAGATTTCTGATTATATCATTTTCGTTTTATACACTTTTAAAAGAAATTATGCATTATATTGTTAAACTGCTCGATTGGAGCCAATCTTTTAAAAACGGGTAATTCAATACTCTCAGAATAATATTACGTAAGCCTAGAGATTTTACTCATAGATAATGCAAAGGTTTGGACTTCTATTAGGAAAATCTCGAGGCAATATTTTATTAATTAATAAAATATTGAGTTAGCCGTTTTTAAAAATCGGTTCGTTTAACAACATTTTATTCATTTACTTATCTTAATGATATCTTATTTCTTTCTTTTTTTTTGCATTACAAGGTGGAACTTCAAGTCCTTGCAGTGGATTGGTGTATCTTGATAAAATTGCCGATCTTGGGCACGTGTCATTTTTGGCCGGGCCCAGTGTGATGATCGAAAAATTCAAATCAAAATGTATATTTATTAATATTTTATAAGTATAATTTTAAAAAATTTAAACGATTGCAAGAAGTCAATTCAATGATTTAAAAGAGATTTTTTTTTTATGGAATTGTAAAAAAAATATTTATAAACTTTAAAATTTTCTCGACAATTTATATAAAAACAACTTTTCTTTGGAATGGAAAACGCTGTAAATCAGAATTTCGGGCTAAGGTTCTAACAAGAACTAAACAGAAACTCGATTTCGTTCTGGTTATCTAATTTTATATTAGTATTATACTAAAACGTGGTTTTAAAAACTTTCCAGCTTCACGGAATATTTCGAATATTAAAATCGGAAAGTACCGGAAATTCACATTTTTAAATCTCGAATGAATTAAAACATTACGGGTAAATCAATAGTAAAACACAAAAGTAATTTATCATCTCCAAAAAAAATAAATAGATACGCCGGAACAATTGTTCGAAAAGGTAAGATGCCCTAAATCTCAAGCAAAATCTTACGATGTTTTTAAAAAAAAAGATTTTCCAAGACGCCATCATTACAGTAATAATGATCGGATCGGTGATTTAGTCATCAAAATGAAGGAAGGGCGTAATATGTTTAGGTAATATATTTTGTAGGAATGAATTGTAAAATATTTCCGAATATTAATAATATATAGACCTACATTTTAAGATAACTTGAAACTTTCAATAAAAACTATCTCCTCTCCGATCTACTTATTTAAAGTGAATATGAGCCGATTCCCAGCCATTCAATCTCTCTGGAAAAAAATTCATTCTCCTTATCAATTGGCACTTTTACGCAAATTTTATTTTAAAAATGAAATGGATTTTCATTATTTAAATTAAATAACTAAAAGATAAAATATGGAGGCCGTTTTAGTTAATTTTTCCACGTCTGGACATAAGAATTTAGACATTTTGATTTTAGAGTTGTTTATTTTTGTTTGTTTTCAAAATCACTGAAGAAATTCATCACTTACAGGTCTTTTCAAATTGCTACAAGTTTAGGGTAATTGAGAATTTAGATAAGGTGGATTTTAGCCAATATTTATTGCTTTTTACTAGCGCTCTCTATCTGACCTTCTATGGAAAAATTTAAAAATTTTTAGTCTGACTGATCCAAATTAAAGTATTTTTTTATTTTATTTTTTTGATCCGACATTTTTTTTTATTGGTCTGTTGAAAAAGAAACGAAAGCGGAAAAAAAAAATTTAAACAACGAAGGAAAATTTTAAAAAAATATATAATTTGTATTTATTCTTGAAATAATATTTATATAAAAACATCAAGTAAAACAAAATAATTTAAAATATTGATATGGGGTCCGATATAAAATTTAAATTTCAGGCCCGATCCGCCCAAGTCTGAGAGAATGTCCAGCCGACCCGAATTCTATGGGCTAAGATTGTATTCAGACTCATCACTGATTTGGAATCAGGTGTGTCCGTGCTGGTATCTTTTTCTCCTATAAAACTCTCTCCCTTAACATGCCCAAAAAGAGTGACCTTCAATCATGATTTTATTAAGGTTTCAATATTATATTATACCATTTTTTTTAAACTATCACAAAATAGATACAGCAATAGGCCACCTCCATGCGAAGAATTTAAAGGTAGCCACGGATACGATGATGGTTTAAAAACCATGCAAGTTTAGTTATATATATATATGACTTTTTTTATAATTATTATTTTTCCTCCTGAATAAATTTTAATAATAATTTTTTTTTGGATTTATTGATTTGTAAGTTAGGATTCAGAGCTAAGCTTGAACATTAATCTCATCATGATTTATTTGAAAGGTTAGATTTTAAAATTGATTTTTTTATTATTACTATTTAATATTTATATACTTGTTATAATAATTCCATATCTATTATTTCAGATATTCCAAGTTATAAATGATTAAGTAAGCGTCAACTTATTAATAACGAAATATTAGTAAATTTAATAAGACAAAAATGTAATCATCTGCAGAGATTGGGGTTGATGAGGCACGCATGATTAACCTTTAGGATAACTATTGATATCCTTTATCTCAAATAGATGCCTTACGCGTCCTCCATTTTTTCCCTAATTTATTATATCTAATTGTAAAATATATTTACTACACCTAATTGTAAAATATGTTTATACATAATAATGTATAATTTAAAACTTAAAAGTCATAAATATGGTTTTTATTTAAGTTGAAAAATTATACAGTGTGTGATGCAAGCGCGTAGCCAGCGGGTCACCGGAGCCAAAAAATGCAGATAATTAAAATATTTATTTTAAAGTTTTCGTTATCAACCTGATTTTTTGAGGTTAGAGAAACATTTATAAGTGCTCTTAATGAATTGTCAGATGGACCTGAAAAAGACTTATTTTCAGAAGAAGACGTCTTAATGGAATCGATAGTTGAGATATTTTCTTTGCATTAGTATCAGTAAATTATTTAATTATACTAGTGTTTTATGCAATCTCTTTCAAAAAATATATTGATTTGGTTGAAATCATATAAATCTTATTGATTCATCAAACAGTCCAATTATCTAAGAATATTTTCCTAATAAATATATTATAATTATTATATATTTTGACCATTATATTCCTTATCACTTGTACAAAAGAAAGAAATTTTATTCTTTAAGAATGAAAACTTACATAGGTAACGATATCTCCGAAAATAGATTGACACCCAAATATTGATAAAATTATCAAAAAAAATTAGCTCAGTCACGAAGAATATTTCACATATTTTTTTTGTTAATATGTTGTCGGTTTATGTGCAATATTTGTTAAAAATATTTTAGCGTAATTAATCTATATATAATATTATCGAAAATTGATTGACACAACAAATTAACACTTATTGCCACTATTTCTCAATAATGCAAATCTCTGTGCATTCTTTAACCCACCTTCAGTAGAGATAAAAAATGTTCTGACGGCAAAACTATATTCCCCGTATCTGGCTGGCAAACTCTTGGTCTGTAATTTTACTTGCATAGACCACCTTGGACCTTCTATTAATATACAATAATGACCCTTTTCTCCAGGCTGAGTCATTAAAATATCAAAAATATTCTTACCTGATGGGTGATAACCACTTTGTCCCCATCATAGCTACATCATCCTGCTCATTTGGGCAAGCCGCCTTGAGTTTCCAATATTTGTTCTTTTTTTTAAATATTTTTCAAGTTCTTTTTTGATATTGATTTATATGTAAATTTTTAATATATATATATATATTAATTTTTAAATAAAGTTCTAAGTGATTCTTATAATTTAATGATTGATATTTTTGTACAAATTTTTTAGCAAGCATTTATTTTATAAGTGATTAGTGGTTTGGGTAAGGACTCCATTTTTAGCCCTAAAAATGGCTAAGCTGGGTTTTAGCCGAAACTACATATTCGAAGTTATATGCCGGTTGTACACCTTTAATATTTTATAATAGTATTTTTGTACATATATTTAGAATCTATTGTTTAGATATTAGCAATTTGTCAATATTTTATAGTCACAAATTTACGAAATTTTAGATGTTCAATAATTAAAAACAAATTTTAGAATTTTTTTAATAAAAATTATTCCCCCCCCTCTCTCTTCTCCATGATTTATGGCTATACGTCTGGTAAAATAGACGAAAAAAATGATTAAATGGGCAATTTTTTTAATAAAAATTATTCCCCCCCCCCTCTTTCTTCTCCATGATTTATGGCTATACGTCTGGTAAAATAGACGAAAAAAATGATTAAATGGGCAATGGGCCAGAAAAATCAATATCATTTTAAAGTTTTGGGCCTAACTTAACTGGTAAAATCCTTTTGCCGACCTATAAGATAGATTGAATTGAGTAAATCTATTATATAAAGGTTTAAGTTTTTACGTGACATTTTAATTAATTTATAAATTTTTTTGACTTTTTACAAGGTCTTTATTGGAAATAATATTTTTTTAGTTATACATTATGTATTCGTGATATTATGTTAATAATTTAAATCTATTTATTTGTTAAATCACTGATATTTATAGGGCTTATTTATGGCTTATGGAGCACACTTTAAAAAGAAATCCAAAATATTGCCGTTTCAAAGCATCGAGCTATATAATTTGATGACAGGTATATTTTTTCGAAATGTAATGACTCTAATTTTAAAAGAAATTTTTTTTAAAAAAAAACATATTAGCTAAATAATATAAAATTAATGTGAATTTTTAAAAATATGCTTAGATTTTCAATATATACTTCTTTTTTCTTTTTTTCTAGCCTTACTTGGTATCACTCCAGCCCCCAATAACGGAACTTATGGATTATTAGCAGACGCCTTAACCATTCCTCACAATCCTATACCGCCCAATTTGCAGCCCGTTAAATACTACGGATTACGATCTGGCGTGAAGGAGGGCGATGGAGAAAACAATTACAAGGACGAGGGTTATGAAACGGATTCCGATGATTACAGTAAAAAGATTAAAAGATCTATTTATTATAAGAAGAGGGCCACTGAAGATGATGATGTTGGTAGCAAATACCCAGCGGAGGATGATTATTACGGAACCGCCGACACGAAATTGATCGACGTGGAAGCCGATAAAAAGGCTGAAAAAGAACGGGAAAAGGTTTTTTTTTTAAATAAAATAAATTGTGATATACTATCCCTTATCCCTGATATAATATATATCAGGAGACCTGTGTAGAAATACCATTTGCACCGCCAGGCTCGGGTATTATTTTTTAAAAAAAATTTTAGTACCGGCACAGCCCTTGTATATTTAAAAACAGCCAATAAAATATTGAATAAGAAATATTTCACACTCAAATTTAAACTTATCACAAGGTATACAATTTAATGATAATTTGTTCATAATAATGTCGCCTTTATTCAAATCCAAAGTTATTGCAAGTATAATATAGGCATAGAGTGCGTAATAATACAAAAACGTATTCAATTCTAATTTTAACAGAAAAAACCAACTGAAGGCTTGAAAGATGCGCTTGGATCCGAAGACGATGACAGTTTGTCTGGCGTTGCCGGAACTATGGCTCCCAGTGGATTTAAAACAGCTTTCAAAGGGGACAGTAAATGTTGTCAGGTTTAAATATAAATTATGACATCGGGATTTCAAGGAACTTTATTAGAATATTTTCTGTTTGTTTTTTAAACTCTCTTATTGTTAGCTCGATTATTTATGTTTACAAGGTTTTCTCACCTTATTTTTAAAAGAAATAATTTTATTGATTTATTATTTTCTAGGGAGTCAAACAAATCTCATACCAACCAATGCATTATATCATTTTATATTATAGCAAAAAAATTTTAAGATCGATATAAACAATTTAAAAGAAATTTCTTGTAGTATACTCGAGACTCGAACTCCACTATACAATTTAAATCCTATAAATGAAAGTTTATATTTATCGTTCACGCATAAAATTATAAAGGCATCGTACGGAGGCAATACGAGGGCAGATTCTTCCCCTCCCAGTAATATACAATCGCTCAAGACCAATGCCGCTTTTGAAATTCCGAAATCAAATTTAGCCACGGTGTCCATTTTACCCGAAAATGATTACATCATAGGGTACGATCAAGATAATAACTACCCCTTATTCGCCTCTTATTTGCCCAAACAAAAATACAATAAACAGGTTTTGATATTTTTTTTCTCAAAGTATATTAAAGATTGTTATATCATATTTTGTATATTATGCCGCGAATACGCGCTAACAGTTAATGCAGGGTTATACTTCCTTTTTATTTCTCTATATTTTTGAAAAAGTTTGTCATAAAATAAAATGATTGACAAAAGAAAAAAGAAAAATTGAAGTTATCGAAATATATCCAATTACATATTATATCATCTAGACTGACGATGCATTCACAATAATACATTTGAAAGCGTCATTGAATGCAAATCAGCTGGACACGCCATTTTGGTAACCCATATAGTAATTATTCTCATGTTAAAAACTACTATTAAATTGATGCTTCCTTATTATCTCGATGATCAGTCAGTTCTCTAATAAAGTTTGCGTCAGACAAATTTTTAATAATGTTATGGGTAATCAAAATGGCATCCCCAGCCGTTTACATTGATGTAAACTTTTATAATGAATGCATCATCAGTCTAGCTCTAGGTATTATTACATGTCATTGAATGTATCTCAAAAATAAAAAATATATCTCAAAAATAAAAAATATATCAATTTATGTATCTCCATATCATTTATATAGATGGAAATAAACAGGTTTTAATATTATTTTTTCAATAATCATTATTAACCGTTTTTCTCGGGGTGGGGGGGGGGGGGGAGGTTTGGCGTAAAGTCGTCGTGAAAATTTGAGGGGTGGTGTGGTAGTTGTGACCACTTTGTTGTCTTGAATAAAATGGGGGAAGGGGATGTTTTAATTTTGATTTGTTAGGAGGATGATAAATGGGGGAAAGGGGGTAAAATATAAAAGGTGTAAAGAGTAAAAATTTTGAAGGGGAGGAGGGAGGTTTATTGGTTTAGTATGTGTGATGTCTTATAGAATTGTATGATTTTAGAGAATCAAAATTATATTTTTGTTAAAATTTACAAAACACGCTAAATTTACGCGATAAAGTGGATAAATTTTTGCCATATTTTTCATTACTTTACATTAAGCCTATTCAAAAACGAATCAAATATTCTATTCATTTCGAATAAAACAAATAATTCGAATTTGTCTATTCGACGAATTATTCGAATTATTCATTTATTCGACTAATTAGTTGTATTCGAATTCTAATTTTCAAATAATTTTATTAAATATTTGAATAATTTGATCGAATATTTGAATTATTCGATCGAATTTTTGAATTATTGGGATCATTTTTTGAATAAAATTTAATCATTTGTCATTCAGGCGCATAACCAGAGAAGGGGGTACTCTCTCCATCGTAAATTTCCTGTTCTCATAAATATCGTCTTAAGCTAATAAAAACCCCCCCCCCACATACCCCTACTCCCTTCTCTTTTCTTAAAATGTATACAATATATCACTATAGGGAAGAATTTGAAGGAAAAATTAATAAGTTAATAATTTTTTAAAATAGCAACTATAATTCATAATTTTTTAACCACGAAATCGGAACGAACCGTTATGATTTACATCCCTAAGAATATTTATCTTATACATTTCGATACAATTTGATAATGAATTTTTGAGTCCTTTTTATAAAATACGCGAATTGACTATAACATATAATTATATTATATATCTAATTTACTTAGACATCTGGAAAATGCATCAGCATGGATAATAGATTATCTTCTGATCTTCAGTCTTCGTCGTGCAGTCTTCAATCAAACTTAAAGGATAGATCAAATTCAAATTTGATTCCTCTGAAGCTTTATAATGGTATTGATAATGCAAATTTAATTACCAAATTAAGTCATTTTATTATTCTTTCCTTATGCTGTGTGTGTCCTAAATAAAAAATATAAATAAATAAATTTATATAACATAAGCTATTATTTATGTAAAAATAAATTCGTCATTTACAAAAATTTATTTTTCTTAACAAAAACAATAGAAATTAAATAAATTCAAATAAAAAATTTCAATAATTTATTTATTTTGAGTAATTTTTATGAAAAAACTAGCAAGTAATATTAAAGTTTGTTATTTTTCTTATTTTATTCTCGTTTTTTTTTGTGTTTTTTGTGAAAAAAATAATTGAAGATTTCGGGCATGTTTCATAATTTTATGAATTTGCGAAAATTTATAAATTTTGGGGTTTTTTTCAAAATATTTAGGACAAAGCTTTAATACATTTTTTGATCACGAATCGAAACTCGAGAAACTTCAATTTATATACATATTTAAATTAAATGAACAATTTTTATATTGTAGAATAATTATTTGATTCATATATAGTATATTTAGAGGTTGGCCTCATCCGACTTTTTTAAAAAACTTAAAATTATACAAATTTATATCGTTTTTCCTTCATGAAAAACATTTCAGGACATGGCAACTTCTTCTTGGCCTTTTCAAGAATTTCCATTTTTCGGACCGCGCCCACCCCTAATATTTCCCATCCATATAACCTCATTTTCGAAAAATATGACAATATTAAGGTGGCGACTCATCGAATATCATGAGTAATGTAGTATACGTGTATGAAGATTTTTACAACAATATTTGGAGTGGCGTTATGAGCGCGATGACCGATGTTGCCATCAAAAGAAACGCTATCGTTATAGTCGGGCCCATTTTTGATCACAACGGTGATAGTTTGAGAGATAATATAGCTAGCGTACCTAGGTAAAAACGATAATATACATCATATAATATATCTTTATATGGGTTTTCTGGAAATCTTTTGAATTTCGTATTTTATATGATAATTAATTGAGAATTGATTATATAAGAAAAAGGGGGGGGGGAATAGAAGCCATATCGCTTTAAATGAATATAACATAACCAAATATAATAGTTATGTCGATGGAAAACGCATATTGATCCCATCACACTTTTTCGTCATGACTCTATATTGTAAAGATGGGTCAGTTGGTCAATGCCAAGCCAGAAACGTAGTAATTAATAGCTTCGTAATACCACATACCAAAGAAACAGAAAATTGTGAGGTATAAATGGCATAAAAATTATAGATAATGCTTTACACCATCATAATTGTTTTTTTATTATTTAAATAAAAAAATTTATTTAGACCGTTGAATTGTATATAAAGAAAAACTACGCCAAAATCAAAGACATCGAGCTTTTGACCGGGCTTAACTTTTTCCTCAAATACCCAGAAACTGATCGAATCAAATTAATAAATCATTTCTATCTCAATCTCGAAAAATAATTAGGAGAAAATTTAAACTTAGATTTTTAGATTTCCCCAAATTTCACAAATTGTAATAATCGAACTATAATTCATCATAAAAAAAATTATTATGTAATATCCATAAATATTGGTTGAAATATTAGCAAATAAATTTATTGTTATGACTTATATTAATGAGTAATAAAAATGATATCCGTACACTATATTTTTAACTATTTGTAAAATAAAATTTATATAAAAACAATATTAAATAAAATAGTAATTAAACATTTAATTACATATGATCGACGGGGCTTAATGAGCCATGTATGGATATGCAGTTAGAACGACAGATTTCAGTTGATATTCTCTGTCGAAGGTAGAAGCCTTCTTTTGGATTACCTGTGATTAAACGTAACCTTAATTTTTTTAACGAATAATGAATTTCGATAAATCAATAAAAAAAAATTAATTTATATGGTTACGTCCATAACATATAATAGCTACCATTCTCAACCCATCTTTCAATCGGGAATAAGATAGAATTTTCACCCTACAGCGTATCCTGGCCAATGATATATAATAATACCTAGATTGACGATGCATTCATAATAATGCATTTGAAAGTGTCGGTAAATGCAAGTCAGCTGGACCCTCCATTTTGGTAACCCATATAGTAATTATTTTCATGCTAAAAACGACTATTAAATTCATAACTTTATTATCTCGCTGGATGAATCGAGGTAATTCCTCTCGTTTAAAATTTTTAATAATAATATGGGCAACCAAAATGGCCTCCCCAGCTGTTTTTATTGATGTACACTTTAATGAATGCATAGTCAGTCTAGGTATTATTATTAATTGATCCCTGCCTAAGAATATTTTTTTTAAATTAGATTGTGATCGTGCTTTAATTTCTCTTTAAGCTTAAATCATTTTAAAAATTTGAGCTCGGAGAATGAAATGATGATTTAAAATAGAATAAAGCAATTTAAGAATTTTTATTTTATTTTATACAATTTTCTATTTTTCAATTAAAAACTTCGGGTCGGGGAGTAGTGTTGTTAAACGGCTCGTTTTGAGCCGATTTTTAAAAACGTCTAACTCAATATTTTAGCCAGAAAAATATTGCCTAAGCCTCAAGATTTCGCTAATAGATGTCCAAACCTTTGTTGTTCCTTCTACAAATAAAATCTTCAGGCTTGCGTAATATTATTTTGGATGAAATATTGAGTTAGCCGTTTTTAAAAATCTGACTTAAAACGGGTCATTTAACAACACTAGTTGGGAGGGCTAAAATAAAATTTCCGACGTTTTCCCTCGAAGCCACTGAACAAAATTCAAAAAAGAGTGAAACTTTACTCATTTTTGTGAAAATATGGATAAAATAAATCCCCAAAGCTATATCATAACTCATACAATTTCTTCACACAACTCTACGACTAATATAAAATTTTCTTATATAAATTGCTAATTTTATTGGCCAATAAAATATATATCTATATAAAAAAATAAAACAAAACTATTTAAAAGCAAAATTATATAATTTCATTCCTTTTTATATTTTTTTTGGGGGCAAAGAAATCACGCGATGGCGACTTTATAAATATTAAACAAAATAATTTTTAAAAAATTATATATTTTATGCAAATACAAAGCAAGATTAATCCTTAAGATAATCCTATAACACCCCCCCCCCCACTTCAAGTAACTAAAATATCTCCACCTATAATATGAAAGTATCACTTATTTTTCTATACGTTCCTCCAAATATCCGTTATGTTTTTCCACCCTTCGGTAGCTTTGTCTGCGCTTAAATCTCCTGATACGGTAACCTGCTTCTTCGGACTTCCATAATTATCGTTCCTTAATCCAAGGTTCTAAGGTTTGCACTCAGTAGCTTCAGTGAGTTGCCTCATTTTTATATTTGCAAAGTGTTTGGTATAACTATATCCATAGCCGTCTATATGTTTTATGCCGAAGATATTACTTAAACGCCCCCATAAGAGTCAATCAATGTGTCGCTCCATAAGAGGACACCGTTGGATTCGTTCTTGTTATGAATTCCCTATGCGTCTTTGGGCTAGAAAATTACCTCCTAATAAAATTTTATAGCAAAATATCGCGAATTTTCCCTACTTGTAACTTCGAAATATAAATACAGACATCAAATTCATTGTGGCTATTCTCAATCATGTCAAATATTCCGTCTTCCATAAATTTTAAGTTTTTATCACTAATTTATTATTAATTCCCACTTATTTTGTTATCCCATTCGATTTTTTTCCCAAATAATATAGAATTCCATAATATTTCAACAAGAAATACATCAATTTATCTTCCTTCAAATATCTCTGATCGTATGGTCGTTGTCAATCCTTCCCAAATTCTCAATAGTTTCGCTGATGAATGGGAAATTGCTGCATCGATCATGATCGAATATTCTTTATCAGGCTCAAGGTGAATGATTTACCTCCGTAATCTTCATTGAGTTTTCTACTTCCCGCAATTTCTTTCACGCGAGTAATTAATCTATCCATTACCACAATCAGTGTTTATTTGCATTCCAACATTTTTTAGCCCTTTATTTGATTATAAAGAAACTCATTGCATATGATAGTCGATCTTCATCTCATAAATATATTTGGTTCCATCAACTCATTTTTTTTCGGTTTATTTTTTACTTCACTGCTAAATTGTCCACCAATTCACCAATATTCACAACTTCTGCACATTTGTTAACTCATTTTTTGTTTTAAAAAAAATCACCTTCTTATAAATTTCTACTCATTACAAATTAAAACAATCATCTTTTTCTGTTTCCCTTTCTTTCTTTCTTTCTTTCTTTCTTTCTTTCTTTCTTTCTTTCTTTCTTTCTTTTAAAAACCAAGAAAAATATTTAACCTTGAATTCATTAATTATTTTATATTTTTTTTTTATTATCCACCACACTCTTCAATTAACTTAAAATACGTTCCAAATTAATTTATTTTCATTCACTAATTAAAAATTATTTCTTCAATAAACCAATTTAACTCTTTTATTCCTTCGTTTTATTCTAAAACAAATGTAAAAAAAAAATTAATATTTCTCTCATTTTTCCAAAATATCCTTTGCAAATCATCTCCCTTTTAAAGACTCGCAGAATATTTATCGTCAATCAGTTACGTTAATATACTTTCCTCAGAGCCAAATCATTTTGTTTCATACTTTTCTGCTCATAAATGGTAGGCTCACTCCTTTTTTGCATTGCTTTCTCTCCCTTTGAATTCCTTATTAGAACGCTTCTTTATTTTGTAATTTTTTATTTTAGCTTCCACCACATCTTCACATAAAAATTTATTTCATAGCCTTTATTTTAAATTATGAAAAAATTTGAACACGATTAAAAAAAATAACTAGTAAAATATATATAAAAAAACATATTTAAATATTAAAAACATTTTTTGTGAAAATCATTTTTTCGAATCGTTTTTTATATTAGTATCCATTTTATGTAAATTAAATTTTTTCTGAATACCGAACCCGAATCTGGTTCAGAGATTTTACACTGAAACAACTAGAACCCTTTATTTTGAGGAAAGGGGGGGGGGGTGGTATTTATTAAGCTGATTTTTTAAACATGAAAAGCATTTACATTTTTTTTAACAATTACGTTTTTGCTACTAATAAGATAAACTTATCCCGGGAAACTTCAAAATTTCCCACATAGCTTCTTCAATTTTTATTTTATGTTTTTTGATCAAAATAAGGATTTTTATTAAATTTTAAAAATATTATTTCCTATTGGTTCATTATCATAATTGTGTTTTTGTTCTTTGTATGTACGTTCATTTATATTATAGTAATAGCAATAGCTCAACTCTAGTAATGTGATCCTAAGGTATTTTTTTTTTATTAACTGAAATATATTTAAAATATTTAATAATGACTGAAATAAGGATAAAGAGTAGGATTAAAGGTTAAATAGATATAGGATAGGGTATGCCTATTTTCTCTTCTATAAATTTCTGAAAAAAATAATTTAATGAAATATATCGATAATTTTACATCAGCCATTTTAATGTTAAATTGTCCATTTCCCATAATGCAACGGGTATTTGGAAGAAATTTTTTTAACCTTTAAAAACAGCATTTAAAATGCTCTCAAGATATTTATTCAGTAAAAATTTGCTAAACAGTGAATATGAAAGGATTATAAAAATAACCAAAAGATAAAATGAAAATAAAAATAAAAATTTGACCCTTTATTAATGATGGATAGACAAATAAGAGTGGAATGTATTATATTTTATTGGCAACCCCAAGTCCCATTTATAAATTAATTGAAAGAAGCAGGGACCAATATGCATACGGGAGAATGTATCTGGTAAATTAAAGTAATTGTAGAAATAGGAAATAAAAAAATTAACAGTATAATAAATAATGAAAGTAATGAAGGAAGCATGGACACTTGTGAGAATTAAATATCCAATTATAGAATGCATTGGGTCGGAATCTTGTGGGCTTAAAGGTTTTTAAGGGATCTAGCATATAAAATATTGCTAATTTAGATTTTATTAGCAAAGGCCCAAATTATCATCAAATATGTAAAATTCAACATTCTTTTACACACTTGAGGAAAAACAACTACTTATAGATAAAAATAGGAATGTTACCTTAAAATTGCCTATCTCACCCAACTCTTTGCGCAGTTTATTTATAATAATTATAAGTTTATTAAGAAATAAAAATATTTTGTAGCAAAACTTCATATTTTTATAGAGTTAAGAGATTTAATCTTATTGATAATGAAGTTTTTTAAATTGCATGGCTATACCATTTTATAAAATCATATCTACACAAATAGAAGAGTGGAAGCGGGCAAATAAAATTTATCCGACGATCTTCAAGCATTTATTTATTAAAGGGTGGTCTCTTACAACGAAATTATATAGAACAATTTATAAAATAGACCGTAAAAATTTCTTGGTACCCAGATTTAGATGTTGCCAGACAAATATGACATATTGCTCGATTTAGAGATTTGGAATCGTTTTCATCTTCAAACGAAGATTACAAATTAAATAATTAAAATTATATCATACTTCTTTAAATAATATATTGTTAGTCTATATATTTTTAATAAAACATGAAAAAAAAAATCAATATTGACCTGTAAAATAATTTTTTAAAGGAAATTTCCCGTTGTTTCCTTATTTTCCCGTATTTTTCCAAATTTCCCGGGAAATTTCCCCCAATTATAGTTTCCCGAGAAATTCACATCCTTACTTGCCACCATAAGAATCGTTTTATTTCATATATTTTTTTTGAAAAAAAAAATATTTCCCTATTATGACTTTTCATTTCTAATTCTATAATATTATATTCTTTTTTCTTTGGGGGTAAATTAATAATACTTTATCTAATAATCTAAAATAGCAAAATCATTTACAAATAATTATATTTTTTCACAAAAATAAAATTTCTCTCTTTCTTTATAAAAAAATTTTGTATAATCTAATACCATGTTGTCAGAAAAAGGGAGGGAGCAAATAGCTTGAATTTGCTCTAACTTTTCATTCGAGCATCCCTAAATTTAAAAAAAAAATTGCATGGTGTTTTTTTATAATTGAGCACCTAAATTTATTTTTAATTTTTTTCGAGGAACACTAAATTTAAAAGAGTAACTTTTTAAGCAACTTTAAATGGAGCTACTCAATTACGCCGTAGACCTAATAATATTGAATTCAATGAATGCAAAGGTGATTGAATTATTTGATTCTATGCCATCAAACTTGATTTTTTTTTGACTCATAAATTCATTAAAATGAAATTGTCCTATTGATCATGGTTTTCTAAATATTTTTACCTGTAAAATATTTAATAAAAATATCTACTGGAAGCTTTTTTTTTATGTAACTCTTATTTTTTGCAATATAAATTTACCTACCTCATCTATTTGATCGATAATTTGGGTAATTTACTAGCCCTTCGATATATTCACTGAGGTCTATATTGCTTAATGCGTGTTAAAATGATTTTTACTTGAAAATGGTTATTTATTATGATCTCAAATCTTTCAGTAGCTTCGTTAAATTTATCTTAGAATGAATATCCAACATTTCATCAATTTTGGTTCATAATATTTTTAAAAATATACGAGCCGTTAGAGATGGACGGGGGTCTGTCAACCTTGCTGAGTACTTCCGTGAATAATTTTAAAAGGCTTAGTTAAGGGAAAGAATTTTTATTTTCAAATTTACATTTTATTTTGACTAATAAACAATAACTTAATGACGCCAGTTTTTAATGTCGACTAAGTTATATTTAAAGTTAAGAACATATTGGGCATAATTTATTATAATTATCTTCAACATATTACCAACATAATAAATTAAAATGAAGGATTGTTTAGGTTTACTTTATGGTATGTCAAAATTAAAATAATTTATAGAAATGGAGACGTATCAATTTGAGATATATGAATAGTGTCAAATGAAGCGAATTTCTATTTCCGGTGAGACCAGTTTTTAAGGACCCTTTATTTTCTGAAACCAACTTACTCGAGCAGATAGCTAAGAATTAGGGAGATGGTAGAATTGAAGGATACGGGAATGGGGTATGTTGTTTAACACACAAGTGTCAAAATATAATTACCCTGAAAATCTTAACAACGATCATTATAATAGGTCTAAATAATTCATATGAATTTTAAGCCTCAAGATTTAACATACAAAATTAAGCATAATATTAACCGATTTATCTATCCTGTTGGAAAATAAAATAATTATGTAAAATGGAGGGACTAATGATGTAACATTTCATAATACAGTTTAAAAAAAAGGTTTTATTTTTATATAAACAAATATTTTTTTAACCTTATAGCTACGAGCTATTTTAATTTTGGCAATAATTCAAAAAAAATAAATAAAAATTCCAAAAAATTAAGTATGCGTGAATTTAATTTTAATAGGTGTGAATTTACCATTTTTTATTCTAAATTTTTTTTTGATAAAATCACAATTTTATTTATAATCGATCATTGAATCCTTATAAATTCAGAAACGAATTCAATCAAGGAACACAAAAGTACTATATTTGAGAATTTTATTTTGTGATTGGCTTATTTTTATATGAATCTTTAAGACCTAAGAACATACCAGAAAGATTGAGAAAATAAACATTTAACTAATCATCTATTATTTTAAAATATGAAATAATTTGGAATTAATGTAACTTTCAGTAAGCAAACGATAAATTTTTTTTAAAAGTTTGCAAACGTTTAAAATGTCTACAATTTTTTTTATAGAAATTTATTTCGAAACACTAAATTTCTGCCTTATCTTTTAGGCATTATCGCTGGAACGTTTTGATATGTTCCTAGCATAATAGGGTTGACAAACCCTCTTAAAAATTTCAATAAAACACAATGTCAACAACAACTCTAAAAATAGAATTTTTTCAAAAAAATTAAATGTTTTTGTTTGGTTTGAAGGTGTGTCAATATAATATTTTGTTTAAATCGTCAACATTAGTTATATATATCATTGGTTGGGGGGCATGACAATATAAAATTTTGTAAACAAATCATCAACCTATACCATAGTTTTAGATTAATTTAATATATTGATAATAAGTAGAGGGCCTTCCATAGAAAACTTCTTTCACGCTAAGTTTACAATGTTTACACTACTTATTTATTTTTTGTCTTATACCTACAACTAGTTTTGTTAAACGGCTTGAGCCGATTTTTAAAAACGGCTAACTCAATATTTTATTAGGGAAACTACAACAGCTACTACTTTATTTTTATTTCTAATTTTTTTTTTTATTAAACTTAAAGTAAGATTATATAATCCTGATTCTTATTAATTAAATCAAATCATAAATATAAATGTTATTTTTTATTTGATATTTAAAGTTTGATACCGTTAAAAATTATCAAAATTTTAATATTAAACCCTTATAAAGGTAAAACGTATCATTTTTCAGCTGGATTTCGATAATAACTATGGTAGAAAATCATGTGAGCCAAGATTTATATCCGTTTAATCCAAATGATGCTAGCGAAGCAAGCCTTGATGGTACATTCCAAGAAACCAACCAAAATGATTATGAATTAGAACGCGGCGATGAAAAATGTATTGTCAAGGGTGATGGGTTAGCTGATCTCAGTGCAAGTCGTGACAGTTGGTCCAGTCATGCCGAGTTTTTGTTGTCATGTATAGGATTCTCAGTAGGCCTGGGAAACATATGGAGATTTCCTTACATATGTTACGCTAATGGCGGGGGTTAGATGATTTATATGATAAAATTTTAAGCAAGTTAATACACTTTAATTTATAATTTTTTTTATTTTGCTGGTGTGTTATAATTGTTTTTAAAATATTTAGGATAATGAGAGAAACTTTATTTAAAAAAAAATTGTACAATAAATATTATTTTAGATTTCTAATAAATGACTGTTAAAACGAAAAGATTGACCTTTAGAGTATATATTTGAATAAATTGTATTTTATTTATGATTTATTAGGGGCTTTCTTAATCCCCTATTTTATGATGTTGATATTGTGCGGCCTTCCCATGTATTTCATGGAGTTGTCGATAGGTCAATTCACTGGCTTCGGACCGCCCCTTAGTTTTAACATCTGTCCACTGCTCACAGGTATAACTAATTTAACTTCCCTTTTTTTTAAAAAAAAACTATAATATTGCTTCTTTATTTTTGAAAAATATAGGTATAGGATGGGCCCAAATAGCTATCTTATTCGTTATATCAATATTTTATAATATCATCATGGCTTACGCATTATTTTATATCGTCTCAAGTTTTCGGACAACGCTTTTGTGGACGACTTGTGACAATGTATACATATATTTCATTTTATTTAAAAAAATATATTTATTATTTTTACAAAAGTCTTTTAATACCCCAAATTGTGCTTCCTTACGCTTCCGCTCGGGAAATGCTACCATGGTGAGCATGAATAACAATTTATCATGGTTAAACTCTACCTACAGCAATGGTACATTAATGCACCAAGATAGCTTATTGACAAATAATTTCAGCTACGAAAATAAGCCCAACTGATGAATTTTGGCAGTAATAATCTATACACACATATTTTTTTATTGATTCAAAAATACTTTAGCCACTATGTATTAGATATAGGTGAATCAGCCGGCTTACATGATATGGCGGGTCTGAGGTGGCCTTTAGTGGGATTATTATTTTTTTCGTGGCTCTTGATTTTCGCGTGCATCTTTAAAGGGATAAAAAGCCTTGGAAAAGTTATATTATTCCATAAAATATATATATTATAATTAAAACAAAAATTTATTTATATTTTAAAAAAAGGTCGCTTACGTAACGACGTCTCTCCCCTATGTTGTACTCTTTATCCTTTTCGTGAGAGGCGTGACATTAGACGGGGCCAAAGAGGGAATATTATATTTTTTGACACCTCGATGGGATAAGTTATTGGAAATAAAGGTAATCCACGCAATTTTACCCTAAATATCGATATTTATATTATTTTGTGTTCCATTTTTAAAATACAATTATAAAGGTATGGAGCGCCGCAGCTGGACAGGCCTTCTTTTCAGCTGGTATAGGCTGGGGTTGTTTGATTTCTTTTGCCAGCTTTGGTAATTACAGGAATAGATGCTACAAGGATGCTCTTTTCATTTCCTTGTTGGACACCTTTACCAGCATCTTTTCGGGCCTTGTCATATTTTCTGTATTAGGATTCATGTCCAAGAAACTAGGTGTTCCTGTGTCAGAGGTGACTACTTCCGGTATATTTTCAAATTTAAATGTTATATTCATTATTACATTAAATAGGGCAAGGGCTCGCTTTCATAGTGTATCCTGAAGCCATATCACAACTTCCTGTTCCCCAGCTTTGGAATGTTTTATTTTTTGTCATGTTGTATGATTTGGGGCTGAATAGTGAATTCGCGCTAATGGAAGCTTTTATATCGGGCTTACAAGACGCGTTGCCTCGAATTTTTCCAGCAAGGCGAAGAGTTTTCAATAGACTCTTATTTTGCGTGATATGTTTCTTATTGGGCTTACCATGTGTGACACGAGTAAATATAGAATACCATTCATATTTTTAATTTACGAATACTCTTTTAGGGAGGTCAATATGTTATCACATTAATGGATTTCTTTTCCTCTGAAATTTCTCTGGTATTGATTGGAGCATTTGAAATTGTCGGAATTATGTGGATTTATGGTTTTAATATAATTTCTACATATTGCATGATTTTTTTCCCATTTATATAGGCATTAAAAATTTTTTAAGAGACATTGAATCCATGTTTCAAAGGAGATTACCATTTAGATGGTTTTGGATTATTAGTTGGAGTATTTTATGTCCCCTTCTCTTATGGGTAAACACAATTTCATAAATTTAACCTTATAATACTAATAATTCTTAAAGACGATATTTATATACTCCATGACGCAATGGACAGGTTTGGTATATCTAGACTATGTATATCCTAGATGGGGAAATTGGTTAGGAGCATTCATTTCCATATTCACGCTTATTCAAATACCGTTGTTTGCTGTGTATGTCATATTCAAACAAAAGAAGCCATTTTTTAAAGTAAATTATAATTTCTTTCCTTTTTTCTTTCTATTATTTAGAATATTATGAAAACAACGTTAAAAATTAAAACTAATCTTATATATAATTTCTTCAAGGTTAAGAATTATTTTGCAAATATCTGAATTATTTTACACATTTTCTTTAAAAATTATTTAATAACGATAATGGATTATTATCAGAATCTTAGTCTTAAATATTTATTTTTTAATTAGAGGTCAGGCGAGTCTGACAATTCAAAATAATTTTAAGGGCCGAGGCCGAAATTTTGCAAATTTTTTGAGCTTAGAATTTGGCTCTATTTATCTCATTTTTCATTCATTAAAAAATTATTCTGACCCGGTCGGACAACTTGTATGGAAAATTATTTTACGAGGCTTTCAAAAAACATTCACCTGCCCTCCCACATCTACCTCTACTTTATATATTGAATATTATATCTTAATACAATAATTTTTAAAAATTTAGGCTTTATATCAATCAATTAGACCAGATCATGATTTCGTTAATCATTTGAGAGAACGGGCGATAAAATACAAGACCTCGGATAACTCTTTTTTAGATAACAAAGGGGACAATAATATTGATATTATACTCAAAAACGTGTCATTTACAAAATTATAAGAAATTATTTTAAAATCCGAGGTTTTCTTCGGATATTTGGGAATTCACGATGCTTTCCTTGTGGAATGATATGTGAAATAATTTGTATAATGTATAAATAATGTTTTAGCGTATTTATAAGTCATTTATTATATTTATATTTTTCATATTTTATTGTAATAATAAATAATATAGCTTTTATAAGAAACTACTACGTCGATTAATATTTTTTACCGGGCATTCACGATCACGGATAGTAAAATAAAATATTACGCTACGCAAAAATAAAGCAATAGCGCCAGAGTGCTGATCAATCGTCAGCAATTTTATATAAAAAAAGGTATGACATTAACAAGCTGATCAATCGTACGCGATCTCCCCATATTCATTTTCTAGATATACAACATTTTAAAACAATTTAGTTCCTGGAGATTTTAAAATGGGTTCAGGTTCCTATAAATTTTAAGAGGGTTTCAGATTCTGGTTTCCGGTTTCAAATTCTCCTCCTTTTACTTGTGATTTTTCTAGGTTTACCCAGGTAGGCCATTTCTTTCTTTTCTTCCTTCCTTCTTTCTTTATCGCTTGCTTTAAATATATCCAGAGACCTGTCGAGGAACTATTTTCACGGCGCAGCCCGGCTAGGATTATTTTTTTTAAAAAAATTTTCGGCGCGGCCCAGGTTTTATATTGTCAGGGTCGGCCGAATTTTTTAAATATATTACATTTATTCTTAATTTTTATTTCTAATAATGGTGATTTAAAATATACGGTCCGACCCGAGTATTTTTTTAAAAAAATATTTTAGGCCAGGCCCGAGTATCTAAAAAAAATTTAGACTTCGATTCAAACTTATTATTAAAAAATTGAACACGGGTCGGGTTTAGGGCCAGGTCTGCAGGTCTCTGAAATATATATATATCTATCTCTTAAACTTCTAAGGAACCCGAAAAAATTTTTTTAATTGTGTTGTTCAAAATTAACCAATCGTAGGGCTTTTATATTTTGTGTTTATTGACTGTAAATAAAATATTTATTTTTTTTAACATATGAAACATTTTTTTTTTTAAAAAAAATTTAAGTTAAATATCATCAAATCAAAAGAAAATAAATTCAATGAACACACAGTTCCCTGGAAAGGAGATTATAACTTAAGATAAGATGACTTAACTTTTCTAGATATTTTTTTTTAGTATTCAAATTTGAAATTTCACCACCTGAGTATTATAAAGTTCTATGTCCACTTTTTTCTTACAAAATAAATATTTTTAGATAAATCAATCCTTCCAATTATGCATTCTTCCATATATCCGATACGAATGTTAAAATATAATTTGGAGTAAACTTTTATTTGCCTTATTATGGTGCGATCTCCTATCTAAAATGCATGAAAATTTATTTTTATAATGCCTTCCTGAGAAATTTTGAAAAATACATATAGAACACTACAATTTTCAAGACGATTTATCTATTTTTATTTCTTTGAGAAATTTACCGAACAGTGAAATCAATTATATGATCGAATTTGAGATATTAAGGTTTTGGATTAAATAAAATTTATCGAATTGTGGGACATTTTTGATTTTTTAAAAAAATTATGTTATCAATTCGTAGCCTCACGCCATTTGAATAAAAAATAAGTAACAAATAAAATAGCTGCCAATCAGGGTTTTCTTTTTACCCAGAAATCAAGTCCAAAAGAAAGTAGGACAATTTATACAATTTTTGGAAAATGTACCTTGAAAGTTCTTCCTCCAGGTCTTTTCTTGATTGAAAACCTTTTTCATGTTTGTGTTGGATTTTTCCTTTACCGATCGAATTATTTTATTGACTTTCTTCGATAGAACACTTTCATAAGTCTTTGATATTTTTCCCCTTTTCGATTGAACCTTTATTTTTTGATCGGACTTTTTCCATTTTTGATAGAGCGAAGGATCATTTGCTGCACAAACTCGAAAAGGATTAAATAAAGTTCTAGTGATAGGACTGGTGCAGCCATTCATAGATGCCATCAAGTTGTTTTTCAAAGGGATCTTTATGTACACTTATACTTGATGGCATCTATGAATCTCCTTTGTATTTTCAACGATGTCAAATTAGATTTATTAAATTTTTTCCAATATACGCCAGGACGTAAAATTCAACAACTATAAAATTATTTTTGAAGAGCCTTTTGTTTTAAAAAAAATACAATTCAATTTTACCCTCTTCAGCTCCCATGAGGGATTTAAATGTCCTATTGGGATATGGAATCCATGGGTATTTGGAATTTTCCAATTTTGTAACATTTATTGAGAGAGATTTATAAATTTGGAAAATCTGATTTAACTGAGATTCAGACAATTATTGCCATTAAATTTTGTTGTACTAATCAATTAATTATGAAAAACCAATATAATGAATGTAAATTAAGAATTAGTTTTTACAGTTATGGGAATAAATTTCCCGGATCAAATCAGATTTTTGTAATTTAATAATCTCTCTCAATGAACGTTTTAAGATAGAGAGATTTCCAAATTACGACATGAGTATATAGTTTGAAAAGTGTTGTTAAAGGCTCGATTATTAAAAACGGCCAATCCAATAATATTTATACGCAAGTTTTGAGATTTCTTTAATAGATTTTCGAACTATTCTGCAAACTATGGGATGAGTTAAATCTCCAGGCTTGTTTAATATTTTTGGTTAAAATATCGGTTTAGCAGTTAAAAATCGAGTCTTCTACCAATGAAATATAATAATACCTAAACTGATGATGCATTCATTAAAAGTGTACATCAATGCAAATAAGCTGGGGGCGCTATTTTGGTTACTCAGGCCAATTTTTTCCTATGTTTGGCGCAAAATTTATTAAAGATTTGCCTGATCATCGAGATCGAAAGGAATCAAGTTATCAATCTAAAATTCTTCAAAATCATCTTTAAAATTTCATCACCACAATATCCAATTCTTCCTATGTTATATCCAACTAACCATCCTTTAATTCTTATATGTCATTGCTAACAACACTAGTTTAAAAATTTAATATATTTACAAAGAATAATGTTTTATTTTCTAAAATAAATTATTTTAAAATTTATAATAGATTATTTAATTATTCTTTTTTAAAAGATAGATTATTTAATTATTCTTTTTTAAAAGATTAACCTTTTACAATTGACGTTCTTCCTTATGTGCCTTTTTTTACTGCAATAACTTTAATACGCTTTCAATTTAAAAAAATTTAATAATAAATGTTTAACGATGACGTATGCTTACAATTTTTTTTCAAAAGAATTTTTGCTAATATTTTAATATATGTAGTGATGTTTTCCAGTTACATTTTTAAAAAAAAATATTTCGTTACTTTTGAAAAATAAAATATATCTAGTAAACCATTTATTTTAATATAGTGACAAAAGTAACTGATTTCTTAATTTAATTAGTTCACTTTTTTAAATGCCGCAACTCGTAATTTTTTTTAAATATGATAAGTTACTTTTTAAAATATGTATTTATATCTCAGTCATTATTTTTATATGTGATTAAAATTTAAAATTGTTTTTTATTAAATATAATGCCACATTTACATCGCACTTCTTTAGAAAGTTTGTTTAATTCTAAAGGAAACTTATTTTTGGAGAAACACGATTATTCCTCTTTGAAAATAATATTTTTTTTAATCAATAAAGTCAACATAGAAATTTATTAAGCCTTTTATGAAATTAAATTTTATGTGTTATATCTAGTATTCTTTTTTCGGGGCTAATAAATATTTTTTTTTCATTTGCAATTAGTTTTGTTAAAGGGTCGATTTTTAAAAACGGATAACCCAATATTTTAAAAATATTAGTCTTGAGATTTTGCTCATAGATCGCAGAAGGGCTTCATGGTTTGTCTAATATTTTTTGGCTAAAATATGAGTTAGCCGTTTTGCCGTCAAATATTTCTTTATTTCATTTAAATTCCTTTAAATAAAAATTTGTAAATCGCCAAAATTAATTTGTATAATAAAAAATATACCAAGTTTTATAAATAATTTATGAAATAACTTTCAATATGACCATTCATTCATGATGTAACTGTAATTAATTATTCTTTTTAAACTAGTTACTTTTTAAGGGTGTAATAAATGATTATTTTCAATAAAAATTTTCGTTAGAATTGAAGTTATAATAACTCATTTTTTGGGAATTTTCGAAAGTAGTTTTGTGTTTTGATATACCGTTTCTGGCAATGTATTCGTATTGTATATGAATAAATTCATTCTTAGAGCTCTGGGATAAATCATTTTATATCTTTTATTGTTTTTCTACACTTACATATATATATATATATATATATACATATTTAAGTTTAAAAAAAATAATCCAATCTTTTAGTATAAAAAAGAGAAAATATTTTTGATGTATGGGCAGGGGAGATTAATGTCACCATTTGCTTATGAGGGTGTAGAAGTTGTATGGATGAATCATTTGCTTCTTATATTTTCAATTTTAATTTTCAAGACTCTTATAAAATAGTGTCAAAGTTCTCTATGAAACAAATTTTAAAAACCCATGGTGGACTTTAAAATAACCAAAATTTAAGAAATTCGAGCTTGAAATAAAGATGGGAAAAAATTAAAACCGGCTAATATTTTAAAAACTGACCTTTCTGTGTCAGTTTATAAGTGCTATTATATTCTTTAAAATATTATCTATATTATAATCTCCATTAGATATCCATAAATTTCTACCTGGCTTATCCAGAACCCCAACCTGGGCAATAAATTATAATGGGCCAGAAAATCTGTACAGATAATGGCCAGACAATTTATAAATAAAAAAAATCAGGCAGTACCTTACATATCTATTTTTTGGTTAAATTTTAAACCTTTTTAAAGCTCTGGAAGAGTGGAGAAGGCTTATTTCAGATAAAAATGAATATTTTATTTTAGATTTTCAGACCTAGAATGTAATGCAAAGCTATTCATTATTTATTTAGTTGGTAGACTTAGAATATGCCATACCTTATTCAAAAAAAAACTACTTTATTAGTTTAAACCCATTTTGATAAATTAACACAGAAATATAAGATAATCAAATAGTAAATTCTAATTTATTTTTAATAGGCCTATTACTGACTCTTACTCAAAAAATATGTTATACTGTAGCATGCTATCTTTAAGAGCTGCTTTGACAGATATTATCATAATAATATAATATTAAATGGGTGATAATGGCATATGAATTTTTAAAATCAGTCAATTTTATATTGTGTTCTTTTATTTAAAATAATCTCCATTTATAAATAATTTAACATTCATATAATAAAAATATAAATGCATTTTTTCAAATTTGTGGCAGATTAAATTTACGTTTAATATTAAATTTAGATAAATTGGTAAGGCATCCACTAATACATGTATATACGTTATTATCTATGACTGTTGATTCTATAGTTCTATTCTTTGGAAAATGTTTGTCATGAATGTTGATAAATTTGGATTTGATACAATCCTTGCAAATTAAATGCCCACATGGATTTATATTATACAATATTTTTTTATTAATATTGTAACAAAAACTACATAAAAACAAATCTTTATGTATCAGAGCATAAGTTAGTTTATCATGATCCAAATTTTTTACATTTAAAAAATCATTTTCAATACTGTTTATATTGTTACTGCTTTGATGTAATGATTTATTGATAAAATTATCAAATTTTGTAATCTTTTTTGTAGAACTTAATTTTGAACAATATTTCTCAACTTCACTTTTTAGTTTTTTGTTAAGAGATGGAAGATAATTATTGTCAAATGGTATTCCAGTAAAAGGGTCAATTGGAAAATTTCCAAATTTTTTTTGTTCATTCATAAGTTTATTTAAAGAAGTGATATCAATATAATGTCCTGATGGTAAAATGACAGGTTCTTTCATAATCTCATAAGTTAAAGAATCTAAAAAATTGGAATGTACAGAGGTATTTGATTTATAATTATCATTATTATTCAAATTTTTCATGGTTAGGTTTATAATCAATTTTTGCAACCATTTTTGAAATTTTAAAATTATCCAATAAAGAATTTAATGTATTTACATCATGTGGCTTTCCATATATCTGTATTGATTTCAAAACAACAGAGCTTGAATTATAAACACTCTTTAAACAAATTTTTAAACTAGATATATTTAATGTTTTTTGATTGTAAATTTTAAAAGGGAAAACAATTGATTCATTATTTAAACTGATTGCACTATTAGATAATATATCTAGTTTATCAAGGTTTTTTGTTTGAACTAATGGAACATAATTATTATTTTTAAATACTATGTATTTTTTTATACAGTTATCTGTAATATTTGAAAAATGATTAATATTTGTTTGAGCTAAAAAATAAAAACTATTTTCATCTATAGTTATATTGTTTTTAGACATATTGCCACCTTGTACCAATCCCCCATTCTTAGATGCTATATGTGAAGCAGATATTATAAAATCTTTGGTTCTTTGTTTACCAGATTGAGGTTCAAGGACAATTTGATTAAGATCTATGGGATATTTAAAATTTATATATAAATTAACTGGAGGTTTTATATAATATTCGGTTATATATCCATTAGAACGTTGTATATTATTTAAGGATATCAAATTAGTGGGTTCATATGAGTCTAAAGAGAGTTTGTCAGACCATATATTTTCTATAAAATGTGATGAATATAAAGATTGAGCAAGATCAAGAGACATCAATTAAATTCATTCATTCATTACCACGCCAATCACCCACCAGGAGTTGAAGCGTGCATCATGTATTTTCACTAGTATTAGATCCCATACATGATGTCTACCCGTTTTATTATAGTGGACGGTACCACTATGTAGCCTGTTAGCAAAGTGAAGAAGGAAGAAGTACAATAATGGTGATGTATTAGTTCCGTTTCCGGCAGAATAGTGTTAAGGAAAAAATAAAAATAATGTCATATAAAAAATGTACCTGCGTCCTTAAGTGGTATTTAGTGAGGCAACAAACAAATAACCCTTATATCTTGTTAAGTATTGAGAGTTTATGTTTAGTTTGCATGAAGAGTCTCTTCCTTGTTTGTTGTTCGGTGTGCCAAAAATATTGTATGTCCTGTAGATCTTGTATGTTCTGTGCCAATGGTATTTGGGTTCGTCCGATTTATTGCGTTATTATTATAGCCAGTTTATCTTCTCATTGCCTGTTATACAGCTAATATTTTCGTAATTGTTATCGTTATCGTCGCCGATATCGTGTGTCCAGAAAGGAAGGTCGTGGGTTATTAAAGGAAGGAAGGAAGTTAAGTTATGTTGTTGTTGTTCAGGTTATTATCATTATCAAATACACTTATTCCATTTATTGCAAGATCGTACAGGTGAAGAACGGTTGCGATATTAATTTAGGCCATATTTTAGCATGTATTGTAAATGTTCCTTTATGTGTTTCTTGTTTTTGCTAAGTGCCATGAAATCTGCAAACGAGAGGTTAATCAGGTCCATATCTTTCAGACATTTCGCCAACCAATAGTATTTAGGGGTTTTCCTCCTACCGTCAAGGCACCATTTCAAGGACGAGAATATCATATTTTCCTGCGAGTGTCTCAAGCTATGGCCTAGTAATTCTAGTCTCCTCATGGGTATGAGACGATTGATTGGTAGGATGTCGCATCTATTCCAGAGCGTTGTATTTGATGTGTTGTATGGGTAATACGTTTTGGTGATTCTTCTAAGGCATTTGTTTATAAAAGTCTGAATTGTGCTGATGTTACTTTTTGAGTCTTGCCAAGTCTCCAGGCCGTAGGTAAAAATGGGTACAATTAGGGACTTGAAGAGTCTTATTTTTAAATTAGTTGATATTTGGTTGGATGACCATAATTTCGACAGTTGATGATAGCGGAGTCTAGCATTATTCGTTCTCGATTTCGTATCTAAAAAGGTGAGGCCTAATGACGTTATCCTGGTTCCTAGGTATTTAAAATCTGACACTAATTCTATCGTATTACCCTCAAAGTTAAAGGGGTTTAAGTGACTCGCATCAGTATTTGAGGTGATTAGTTTGGTTTTTGTGTAGTTTACTCTTAGACCAAATCCATCACAGTTGTTGACAAATAATGATAAAATATTTCTTAATTTGTATTCTGAGTTGGCTAGAATACATACGTCGTCAGCATAACATAGAAAGTTTAAAGAGTTGTGCATATCATTGAGGTGTTGTTGCTCACTGTAATGTGTGTTGAGTGCATATTCCTGTTTAAAGGATTTATTTAGGATATCGTTCGTTATTACATTAAAAATAATCGGTGAAAAAATGCATCCTTGTTTGAGGCCTCTATTTGCTTTAAAAGGTTGCGACTTCATATTTAAATGCTGAGGAACTACGCTATGATTGTCGTAAATTATCTTAATTAGCGCTATCAGATGTTTATCTATTCCAATGTTTTCCAGCAAGGGCCATATCTTATTCTGAATTATGGAGTCAAAGGTTTGACTTAAATCAATCATCAGGGCAAAGATGGGGGATTTATGCATTCTGGCCTTTTCCAGCAGTGAGGCGCTTACTTTGCATGATGAGGTATTTAATTTAAATACGAATTATATGATAACTTTTGAAGAAAATAAATTAGGACATTTAAATATTTCCAACATTTATTGATTAACTTAATTATAATGTAGCTAAGAATAAAATGACCATTTGGCTGAAATTATATTAAAAATAGATTTTCATAAGTAAACAAATTATACTCTTTATTTATAGCAAATCTCCAATATTGAAGATTCACAAATTGTATTATCTCCTCATCCAATCCCCGGTTCTAGTGAGGCACTTACTTTGCATGAGGCATTATATTTAAATAAAATTTATATAATGACTTTTGAAGGGAATAAATTATGAGGATATTCAAAGTCCAAGTCTTATTCAGCTATACAAAAAAAAGGAACCAAATGACCCTTTTCACTTTATATTATTTAGGATGACAAATATTTTGATAAATTTCATAATTGCTGTAGGCCCTTGTCAGCCATGTACAAATAAATTTCAATATCCTGTTACTAACAAGAGGTTTTAAATAATATTTATTTTCATTAATTTTTACCCATCCATTATTTCTATACCAATATATTTTTTTTTACTTTTTAAACAGGAGCATGAATATAACCTATTATAGAAAGGTTAATATAGATGGTTCCCTCAACCCCAGAAATTGGCTATCTTATAGCACTACTTTAGACAAAGTCTTTTGTCTATATTGTATTATGTTTGGTGGCCCTAAGTCCAATACTTTTTGGACTCAACATGGGGTAAATAATTGGAAAAACATAAAGCGTGACTTAGAGAGACACGAATCATCTTCTCTTCATAAAGATTGTGAATATGCAAACATGACTTGGCTTGCAAATAAACGCATTCAAGATCATTTGCTATCAAATAAGCTTGATATAATCATGGAAAATCGTAATATAGTTCATAATATTATCAATGCCATTATGTACCTTATAAAATGTAATATAGCCTTTTGGGGTTATAATTCGAATGAAGATAATTTTATGTGTCTCATAAAATTAATGGCAAAAACGGTTCCAACTTTACGTGCATACATGGATAACAACGAAAAATTGCGGAGAAAAAAATCAGATAAAATTTCGAGACCTTATATAAATTTACTGTCATATGGCCACGTGAAAAAAATAACTGAAATTATTAAGATAAAAATAACAAAAAGCATTATTCAAACAATTAAAGAGAATCGTGCCTATAGCATCATATTAGATGGAACATATGATGTGTCTAAAAAAGAATGCATAGCTTTGCTTGTACGGTATATAGAAGATGATCTGCATCCACATCCTGTAGAAAGGATCATACATGTTTTTACAACATCAGAAACCACTGGGGAAAATATAAAGAAACATGTTTTTTCTAAGTTTAATGATCTTGGTCTTCCTCTTGATTATTTGGTTGGACAAAGATGGATGGTGCAGGGAATATGAGAGGAGTATACAAAGGAATGCAGGCTTTAATATTGAAAGAGGCTCCAAAAGCCATCTATATTTGGTGCCATGCACATCGGCTAAATTTAGTAGTTGCTCATGTTTGTGGATGCAAAATTGAAATGAAAAAGGCAATGGGAATATTAGATGAGTTATATAATTTTATGAATGGAGTTAGACGTCAAGGTGTGTTTGTTAAATATCAAATGAGAAAGTCCAAGAAATCTCTTAAAAGAATTAAAAACACAACAAGGTAAATAAAATATTTTTAATGAAACTTGAAACTTATATATTTTCAGAAATTGGTCATCATCCTACAAATCTGTAGAAATCTTTTTAGATGTTTATGAACATATTTTAGCATCATTAGTTGAATTAAAAGATTCTAATGACCCAAGCACCTCTTCCATTGCCGATGGGTTATTATCAAGAATTAAAGATGAAAATTTTATATTAAGTCTTTTTATTTTGAAAGAAATATTGAAATGTACACATGAGGCTTGTATTGAAATGCAGGCAGTTGGTAATGATTTGGCTTTGGTAACCAAATTAATACAACATACAAAAAATAAATTACAAAAACTAAAAGGTTAATATTAGTTACTATTTCTATAAATAATTTTAAAATATAGCTAATGGAGACAATATATTTTTAAAATTACATTCCTTATCTAATAGTTTTTTGAAAAAGAATAATGTAATAACTGATTTGTATAATATGAAATCAATATTCAAATTGGATCAAACAGAATTCAATAATTATGTTGAACAAAAAAAAAACAAGTTGAATAAATTAAAAAAATTTAAATTATTATTTATTATTATATATATAGAACTGAAATATTTTTCCCTGTTCTAAATGCAATAATTAATCACCTAAATGATCGATTTAATTATGATTGTTTAAATTTTTTATCACAGATATCCATTTTTACTCCCGCTGGAATTATGGATAATGAAAAAATAGAAGGATGGCAAATATCCGAAATTTGTAATACTTATCAATTGGATGTCCAAAACATTGTTGATGAATATAATGATTTTCGCTCTTTATATTTGGAGTCTCAATCAATCATTTTTTGCGAAGATCTTTTAAAAGTTAAAAAGAATGACGCGTTATATATTGATGAAAGTAATTTATTGATATTTTATTTGTAATTGTATATAATTAAAGGTATTGCAAACGATCAAATTACCAAAGAAAATATCAACAGCGAAATCATGACCAAAATAAAAAAATGGATAAAATTTTCTTTTATATTACCATACCGACTTTTAAATCAATTAAATTCTTATTCAAATTTAAATTTATTATATAAATATTTATTAACCCTTCCTACAACTTCCTGTTCAGCCGAAGGAGCCATGAGTAAAGTAAAAATTAACAAAACTCGAATGCGGAATAAAATTTCGGACCCATTTTTAGAAAATTTACTGTTAATATCCAGCGAAATTGATGTTTTTGAAAAATTTACAATTGATGATATTATAACACAATTTGCTTTAACATCAATAAGGTTATCCAAATTATTAATAAAATAATTAATGTATCTTTTTCACAGCGAATATATAGGCTTTTAAATAATGTATATTTAATTTAACATTTTATAATTTCAATGCAAAATATACTATAATTCATTTTATTCTAATATTTTATATAATAGCTCTATTTACAATACATGTTTTTAATTATGTGGAATCAAGCTAAATATACCTCTTTAAATTTATTCGTCTTATATTTTTTACAATATTTTAGATCTTTTTCATAGAAATATTAATATGTTATCTCATTTAATTCACTTATATATATTTTATGAAAATAAAGTGAATACCAAATTATGAAAAGATTGCATTATTTAAATAAAAGTTCATTATCACTTACAAATTTTTAAATTTTTTTTCCCTTGTAAGGTTATAAATGGTGGCAGATAAGATTTTTTAAATAAAATCACTATACCATCGTAGGTCTGTAAATTTCGCGGCCGAAGGCCGCAGGATTTTTTTTAGGTGGGTATGGGTAGATTTTGGAGGGGGTTGCCTCCATCAAATTTTCTGCCATGTAGACGCTGTTTTCCAGAATGACCTTAAGTGCCATGGTCAACTCCGTAGTATTTCTGCCCTTCCTGTATGATGTGATACCATTAGAAAGGAATCTGTTAATGATTGGTTTAATTCTGACTGATATGATGTATGTGAACATTTTTAGTGTGACTGGAATTAGTGCAATACCTCTGTAATCTTTAAGGCAGTTTGGGGACTTATTTTTAGGGAAGTTTAGTATAATTGATGTCATCCATTCGTCAGAAAACTTGCCCGTATTCCAAATCTCCCTAAAGAGGGGAAGTAGTAAGCTGGCACTTAGGTCTACCTCTATCTTCCAGAGTTCTGCAAAAATTCCATCAGCTCCAGCAGCTTTATGCATTTTTAGACGTTTGATGGCACCGACTATATCAGACTTGTTCAAATTCCGATTGGGTGATTGGAAGGGGTAGTCACATCTAGGTCTAGGCCATCTCGTTTTGTAGAGGTTTATGTAGTGGTCTATCCATAAGTCTAATTGTTCCTTAGGGTCAGTTATAATCTTGTTGTTGTTTAATTGTAGTCTTGGTAAAGGATTGGTTTTAAAGGTGGTGAGTAGTTTTAGAGATTGGAAGGCCTTATAAATATTATTATTATCAAAATTGAATTGGATAGAATTCGATAAGTTAGCAATAAACAGTCTTTTGTCAGCTCTTATGCGGTGGGTAATGTATCTCCTGTGATGTCTTGCGAATTAATGGTGGGATATATTTGTTGTAAGATTCTTAATTATTTGTATTGTTGAAGGGGTGAGCCACTCTCCTGCGCTTGGTGCGTGGTCTTAAGCATGATGTTATACTACCTAATACATTCTGCTTAATGTCCTTCCAGGTCAGATTTGGGTTTATCATGCCATTTGCTGAGTTTCTCCATGATATTAATTTAGAGACGAACTCTTCTTTCACCTCTAAGTCATTTAGTTGTGCCAAGTCTTTTCTAGCTATGTATTTCACAGTGGTGAGACTGTTCTGTCTAGTGTGGTTTGGGAAGATACTGCTGTTAATTTTGAGTTCACAGCCCAGTGGATAATGATCAGTAAAAAGTGTAAGGTTAAGTTTACTGATTACCCTGATGTCTTTCACCCATTTGAAAATCTTAGTGGAAATTATAAAGAAATCTATCTGTGAGGTAGTGCCAAAGGAAGGGCTCTTGTAAGTCATGATGTGATGAGTTGGATGATTGAAGAAAGTATTACCAATTTTCAAGTTGAAAAACTCGCAGATTTCTATTAACCTTTTACCGTTTAGGGTTCGTGCTTTGTATTAATGTGGCGTTTCCAAGGCAGGAAGAGTTCTTAGATTTACCTACCGAAGCATTGAAGTCACCTGCTAGAATGATGCCATCCCGATGCGGTAGTTCCTTTAAGACATTCTCCAATTCCATATAGAAAACGCTATCATTGTGAGGCGCGTATATATTAAACAAATGGACTTTTTTGTATCCTAAGTTTAGGGTAAGGCAGCATATTCGGCTGGAAATTGGGTTGAAGCTTACGAGTCTTATTAGTTTATTATGTATCATAATCGCCACCCCAGCCCATACGTGTTCTGCATTTGAGCTGCAATATAAGGTGTAATCTAATAGGTTCCTTACCTCAGTTACTTTAAGGTGGGTCTCCTGTAAAAGGAGGATATCGTAATGTTGGTCTTTCATAATTTGTCTAAGTATAGTTTTTTAATTTTATTCTTAAACTGAATTGATTTACCCGAAAATAAAGTGATTTCCATAATTAACGGTATTCAAATGATCATTCTGACGTGCAATGTATTAAAAAGTTTTATTTTTATATATAGTATGTCCACAAATTATTATTTTATAATTAAAAAGACCGGTGTGGCTCTGAGATTCTATATCATACTGGCACATAGGAAATTAATGTTTGATAAACTTTTGGAGAAAAATTCATTGTTTTGTTGAAAAGGATTAGACGTGGGTAGTGTTGTCGTTAGAAGCCGATTTTTAAAAACGGCTAACTCAATATTTCATCCAGAAAAATATTACGCAAGCCTGAAGAATCTGCTCATAGAAGGAACAAAGGTTTATACCAAAATTTTAAGGTTTATGCAATATTTTTCTGTCTAAAATATTGAGTTAGCCGTTTTGAAAAATCGCCTCAAAACGAGCTATTTGATAACATTAGGCATGGGCAAGTATTTTTACACTCTTTTAGCTAATAAAGATATTACTTCCTCCTACCATAAGAGGTCAAAATTAGCAAAACAAAATTGGCTAAAAATAAAAACTATAAAAGTTTTTCTCAAAAATTTGTAATATTTATATCATTTTTAAATTTTTTTGCAATTTTGTTTATTATAGCATATTGTATTTATTTTTATTTTTGGAGGGTGGGAGAAAGAGAGGGAGGGAGGGGGGGGGACTTAAAATGATATTTATAGATTTGACAAATTTCCTGGAATGGAAGGGATTTTTTTCATTTTCCCCTCTCTTGATAACATTAATAACTGTAAAGTTTCATTTTTGTATAATCTGTATACACTTTTATTTTATTATAATTTGAGCATATTTATTAAATTTGTATATTTTGTCATTACAGAATATTAAGATTTATATAAGTGACGTAGTTCGTATTTGTTTTTTAGCGAAATGCTCAAGAGTTCAAATTGTAAATTTGGTCCAACAAATACTTCGTTGAACTTTAAATTTTTTTTAAATTGAAATCAGTGATATATATTAATTTTGATTTGAGTCATCCGGCTTTACATAAATTTGTAATCTTAAAAGTTAAAATATTTGCTCTGCATTTGCGATTGTTGGACTAAGGTTAGCATTACTTGTTTAAATTTTGTAAAGTTGTTATTAGTCTTTCTTTTTTGATAATTAATATCTTCATAACCAACTATTATTTAAAATATAGAAAATATAACTATATAAAGTTTTTTTTAATTTTTCCCCATTTCCATATTTAAAAGATACGCATTTTTTATATCTTCCCCCAACGGCTAACACACATTTTTTTAATTGCTAATCTACACAACAATAAATAAGAAATTTTATATTTGGTTCTCCTATGTATATATATTTATAAAAATGGCACCAAATTATCCAATTTGCATGATTTTTTGATTTTCTTTAAAAAAAAATATGAAATGGTTTCAATTTGCCTACCGAACATATATTTTTTAACATAGTAAAAATAGTATTTATTTCTTTTAACTGATAAAAATGAAATTACTAGAAAATTGGGGAAGATAATATTAATAAAAATACTTAAAATTATTTAATTTTATGTGATAATCTTTTTTAAAAAAATTGCAAGTGGCAGAATGCTCTCATTGCTTCTGTTTACCCTTCGTAACTATGTTACATGCCGATTTTATTTAATTAATTGATACATAAAATAATAAAATGAAATGAAAGATAAAGATAAGAATAATAATATTAAAATTATGGTAGATTTATATAACTCGCGAACAACTAGGAGCAAAAGCAGAGCATAAACCTGAAGATTTTGAGAAGGCCCATATTAAATATGTTTCGTGAGTATAAGGTTACCTTTATATTTCTCCAATATTCGAATTATATTCGCCTAAAATAATTTCTGATTATTTGTAAAAAATTTATTCCTAATTTTATAATCATTATTCGATTCATTCAGATTCGAATTTGTAGAATAATTTTAAAATTATAAAATACAAAATTTTATTATTAAGAAAATAAATTTAAAATTCTTTTAGCTATTATTTATTTAGGTTTTCTGAAGTCATTTCAAAACTGTTGTGATCGATCTACTTATTCTCGATTTAATTTTTTATATACTTTTAAAAGTCTAGTTTAAAATGATAATCAGTTTTTTATCACGAATATTTTTTGAAGAAAGTGTGAAAAAAAAAGATTTGAGTAGACAAGAGTTATTATATAAATTTTTGGGATTTTAATGAAATGTATTATAATGCATTTGGAATAAAAATTATTCGCGAATAGTAAATATAATACCACAAATTGTTTGGTACAGTTCTCCCATAAGCTTATATCTATTAATACTCAATTTTAATATTGAATATGCAGGTTATGGTTTTTATGTTGTTTGAATTTGATATTATTTTTCCTAGACTTTAATTTATTAACTTTATTAGAAGGATTTTAGCAGGTCTATATTTTAAATATTGTTTGTATAAAATGACTATCTAAACAGGATATTTATTAGCAAGAATAATTAAAAATGCGATGCAAATGTATCGTCATTGATTCTAAACAAAAACATTTGATAATCCACTTGTCTAATTTATCCATACTTTTACTACGGGTTTCCTTCTGAAGGATGTATTTATCAAATCCTAAAACCACATAAATAATCTATTTAATGTTTTAAATGAAAGAGTTGGAAAGACGGATTGGCGAAAATACTGATCAGACTAAGGAATCTCTTTTCCTACGGCAAAAACTTGCTACCACGATCATTTGCTCTATGTTTTATTTCGTCCATTCCTCCTTATACTTTCTTTTCTTCCTTCTCCTTCCTAGCTTCTCTTTATTATTTTTTTTATGACATCTTTTTTTAAAAATTCTTATCCTTTTGTTCTCCTAAATCCTATTTTTATACTTATCGCCTTTATTTTAGAAAAATATAGTTATATGCCTTTATAATATATTATATTAGCT